GAATCTCCGCGAGAAAGAATGAACACGAGAGCCATTGTACTAAAAGTGGGAATGTGTGTCTTCTCAACTAGATCTCTCGGATGAATATTTTTTACTAGCCCTATTTGTAATAGTCGCTCAATGACCTAAGATAGTATATCACGCAATTGTCTTACTTTTGCCACCTCAATCCCAGAATCACCTGGGCTTTATGTTTTAAGAGAACACATTGATATATACATGCATGGTGCAGCTAGCTTCAAAGTAGGCATTGAAGCAACTGATAGGTACCCAAAATTTTAAATCAACAAAGCCCTTTACTTCCCTGAAGCTGTATGTCTGGATGAGTATTTAGCTGGTACCTTATTTGTGAGCTCACTTAAAGATGATGTCATGCAATTTCTTGGATTAGTCTGTGATTTTTGGATGGCGCGATTGTGAAAAACATTTTCAACTTCATCTCTGTTATTTTTGGGTCCAAAAAAAAAGGAGGAAGAATGAAGAATTGAAGACCCAAACCACGTTTGTGGTTCAGGTTAATGCGGTACGGGACTCGGGTCGGGTCGTGACAAACATGCTTTCATAGAGTTTCGGGTCGGGTATCACAGAAACCTGACCTGACCCAATCTGTTGAGATCCTTAACCAGCAGCATAGCCTGTTGGAAAGTTGCTCCCTGGTAGTCCAATAGAAAATGAGAGTTGCATAAGCGAATGCAAGCGAATCCTCTTATCAAGAGAATTCTTTCTTCGGGGATACATTTTGATTATGCCATGGTGTAGAGTTTGAAATGTTATGCGAACTCCAGTGCTCAATAGATCAACAAGAAGTATTTCTAATGAAAAACGCTGCTATGCGGAAGATAATTTCTGCTGCAAATGCATTGTGCAGTGGACTAAAGTGGTGGCTGGCAAGCACCCTGAAGCTCCAAGTTCTTTAATGTCTCTTCTGTAAGGTTATTAACCATTTCCTGGACACATCCATTTTGAGGGAAACCCAGACAGTCTTTTGTTTTCTCTTCGTTATATCGTCATTGGAACCCACATAACAGGTTCAACGATTGGGGTTGGCTTGCAGTCTTAGTATTACTTTTGGGGCCTCCTCTGTTCACATGATTACATAGTATTGAAACTTGAGGTATGAACACCAGTTAACCGTTCCGAAATGTTGAGAATTTTAACAACTTGCAATGCTTAGTCAGCTTTACTGATCGAAATGGAATAATTTAGCTCCTGCGGACTGAAAACTTTTTCTGTTATGTATGGATACGATGGAAGTTCTTTTGAGCGGCATTATGTTAAGTGAAATATTTTCTGATACGTAAAGATTATGTCAAATATTGCTTGCCTACACTTTTCAAAAAGTTGACTTACGTCCTCACTAATCTTCCTGTTATTTGAAGTGTTTTCTTCACAGAAGCACATAGGTATAGGCTACGGTGCTACCAATATTTAACTAGGTATTTCATACGCTTGTAATCAGGTTCTTCAACCTGACATACGATGCTGTCTAGTCGCTATGTCAGTTTCCTGACAAATCCGGTTATAAATTCATGTTTTTTCAGTAAATACTGGGTTCAACTGGGTAATATGTTCGATATAAAGCGGTTTCGGAAGTCTCGGAAATACTTTCAGTAGAATCCATGGCATTACCATTGGCCGAAGAGTGAAGAGGGAAACTCAATCTCTAATGCAGGTTGGAATTCCATACTTGTTATTCAACTTGGCTAATACACTTTCATCGTTATGGTGTACTGTACATCAAGCAAAATCCGAAAAAAAAAATGTTTTTCCTCATTGGGAACTCTCTCTGCGGTCGGAAACCCATCTAAGTTGATGCATTTGTTTCGCCTGATGTATATGGATCTACGTTATCCTCTTGGATTAGCTCTTGTATCATCGTGCCGTTTTCGTGTTTAAGAAGCTCATCACTCATAAGTTATATCCAAAAACTATCCCTCTGTATCTGATTATCGTGATGTCCAGAAAAAACGGATGCTGCAATGCCAGATGCCGAATAACATTGTTAAAAGAACAGGAGGAAATGAGGAATCCATTCAACCTGGTCATGATGATCTCGCCTCCATCGAATGCTCTGTGCTTCAATCTTGCTGTAGTCGATCAGTGATCACTGCCTTTTTTCTTATAACCCGCTTCGATCTACAGCTGACAGTATCTAGTCACAACTCATGTCGAATGTTAGACGCCAAAAATTACCGAACCTCATCCATGGAATGGTTACTTCGATGTCGCTCTTGGTATGGCACTGGTTGAACGATAGCAGTGAAGTTTAAATGGAATGGTTGACGCCGTGCTTGCTCTGTACAATCGGTATGCGGAACTAAAGCCTTGAGCTTTTGTTATGCCAATTATGAAATGATCTTTTGAGAAAGTGCGACCTCGCAAATCGAACGGAGATGTGACTACGGCAAAAGCGTAACTAGGAAGATCAAAATGGCAGGAAATTATCTTTACTCCATTTCTAAAGCAGTTACTTCTCCCTGATTTCAAGATCGGATATTGCTTTCTTTGAGGTAAATTAATTGAGAATGAGATGTTAGGATTCCTCAATGAAGCAGCAAAAAGAAAAAAGGAACATGACCATTGAAATTATGACTTTCCTACTCCCTTTGACCACAGCTTCTAGAAACGCTAAATGCTAGCAATGCCGATCTCTCGTTGCCCTCTTTCGTCAAATGATTGTGACGAGTTTCATTTGACCCAAAATTTATGACACATAGGTTAAGCATAAGGGATGAACACGTACGCTGTACTTTGATGCACCCATTTGTTAAAGTTGATGAGCAAAATAGGTATTTTCATTTCGGATTAGTAAAATAAAAAAAACATAAATTATGTCTACTGAGACGTTAATACCTTAATTTATTTTCGTATCATCAAAAATTCTAAATTATGCCCACTACAACACTAATCAATATCCAAAAACTGTGTTTACTGTGACACCAAATTACGAATTTTTGTTACGCTGGTGCAAGTTTGAGGTATCAGTTATATAAAAAAAAGTTCAGGGTTTCGATGACAGATGAGTGGTATTTTTGTCGTATCATTACAAGTTTGGATTTTGGTGATTAGAATTTTTCCTTAGTATTTTTCCTTTCATTTTTCACCCCAATATACTTTGCTTTGATCCATGCCGTTTTTTTTATTAGTTAGGGTTCAGCTGATCCGAGCCATCAATCTTTTCGTAATTAAGGTACGATTGACTAAACTCAAATAGAAAGAACCAGATCGCTCAAGTTATCACTGTTACCACAGTAAAAGGAAATAGAAAATAAAAAAAAATGTTAGTTGGATTTGGACTATTTGTGCACGTGAAACAAGGAAAATTTCAATTAAAAGCCTTAATTGCAACCGTTTTCTCAAAATGTTTCAAATAAGGGTATAAATTGGCCAATTTAATCTCCAATAAGGGGTTAAAGTGGCCAACTCAATCAAAATAGGGATAATACTCAAACAGTCGCTGAACTTTGGCCTAATGTGCAATTTGGTCCATGACTTTTAATTGTTCAATGTAGTCCCTAAACTTTAGCATAATGTTCAATGTGATCCCTGAACTTTTAATTTGTTTAATATGGTCCCTGAACTTTTGGTACATGTTCAATTTAGTCCCTGAATTATATGAAAATATTCAATGTAGTCCTTTCATTAATTCAAGTTCAGGGACTACATTGAATATTTTTATATTCAATGACTAAATTGAAAATGTACCAAAAGTTCATGGACCACATTAAACATTAGGTTAAAGTTCAGAGACTACATTGAACAAATTAAAAGTTTAGGCACCAAATTACATATTGGGCCAAAGTTTAAGAACTGTTTGAGTCATTTTTCCATCAAAATAAGTGCCCAACCTTACCAGCCGGCCAAATCTGCACACGTGACTCGTGTTCTCATTTTGGCGGCAACATCAGGGAGCCAAGAACGATAGACAAATCAAAACGGAGAAGTTACATTAGTGATATTAGGAGAAAAATTGTTCTCAGAAGAACCCTAACATTAATTTGTGGCTTCTTCAAATTGAATCAAAGTAGAAAATTTAAAAATATTGTTCTTGATGTTGTCAAACATGTGAGTCAAACAGGAGTCGAAAGTGCATCGCATGTGCAAGCCAACCAATGAAGATTTGGTCAATCGGTGAGCTCGGATCCTTATTTGACACTAAGTTTGTCACTTTAAGCCCTTATCCGAGAGAAGGTTCATTTCGGGCTCTCTTACGATCCCTTTTCACGCGTTTATTTGAGATCAAGTTAAACATTTGAAACTCTTATTCTATTCTTAATCCTCTTTTGAAAAAATGATCACTTCAAGCTTTTATTTGAAATTATCCACGTTAGGGTACGAAAGCTTCATAGTTTTTTGTCCCCAATTTTAAATTGGAAAGTTGGCAGCGAAAGGGACCAACCGGAGGACGGAATCAAATCCATTCGGACGTCGGCACATTTGTCCTTCACCTTTAACTTTACAATAGGATCATGGGACTTCAAAAAGATTAAATTAGGCATGTCCAATAAAGTTGCATTTGTCTGTTCTCCACGAAGTAGTTTAGTTATATATATTTTTTAATCATCAAAGGTACGGGATTGATTCTTGACTCCAGGTAATTTAATACGATTTACTAGACATTCCAATTTGTCATAATTCCCCTCATTTCATTTTCAACCTTACCTAACCTTATTTGGTACGTACTTTCCTTTCATCTTATCCGATTACTAAGGATATGACTCGATAATTTAGCCAAAATTGGTGAACTCGCACACTAGCAAATTTAAATTAAAATAAGGATAACAAAAATGGGCAGTGAAACACTCCCATGCACACGTAAAAAATAGCATGAAAAAGTCTAACTTGCCGAATATAGCCGAAGTGATTCAAAGGCCATTGGACTTAGGACTCTTCTCCTTAATCACCACGATTAACGTGAGTGGATATCCATCACTCTCTCGCATCTCTCCATCTCTCTCTCTCTTCCATTCTTTGCCTTTATAAGAGGCTCGTTTCCATCGGCACCGAACCCCTCAAGTTCGATTCGAGCACTGAAGAACAGAGAAGAATAAAGAGAGGGAGATTCGCCAAGTTTTTGGGTCTCTCTCGCCGTCTAGCCACGGCAGCTTCCTCCCCCGTCCCCGCCAAAACGACGAGGAAACCGAGACGCCGGCGAAAGCGCATACCGGAGGAGCTCAGGGAGGACTATCCATCCCCCCCTGCATGTAGCCGCGCCAACGACGACGAAAACAACGAGACTTACGACAGCAACTCCTGCAGGTGATTAGCGAGTATGGAGTACGGTGGTAGTAATGAGGCCATGGCGCCGCTGTGGAAGATCATCATGGTCGCGTCGATCGCGGCCGGGGTCCAGTTCGGCTGGGCGCTGCAGCTCTCCCTGCTGACCCCGTACGTTCAGCAGCTCGGCGTCCCGCACATGTGGGCGTCCTTCATCTGGCTCTGCGGCCCCATCTCCGGCCTCCTGGTCCAGCCCATCGTCGGCTACTTCAGCGACCGCACCCGGAACCGGTTGGGTCGCCGTCGCCCCTTCATCATCGTCGGCGCCGTCTTCGTCGCCATCGCCGTCTTCCTCATCGGCTTCGCCGCTGACCTCGGCCACATGGCCGGCGACAGCCTCGACAAGGAGATGAAGCCCCGCGCCGTCGCCATCTTCGTGGTCGGCTTCTGGATCCTCGACGTGGCCAACAACATGCTCCAGGGCCCCTGCCGCGCCCTCCTGGCCGACCTCTCCGCCAACAACCACCAGCGCATGCGCATCGCCAACGCCTTCTTCTCCTTCTTCATGGCCGTCGGGAACGTCCTTGGCTACGCCGTGGGCTCCATCTCCAACCTCTACAAGGTGCTGCCCTTCACCGCCACGGTCGCCTGCGACGTCTACTGCGCCAACCTCAAGAGCTGCTTCCTCATCGACATCGTCTTCCTCGCGGTGGTGACGATCAGCGTGATCACGTCGGTCCAGGAGGTCCGGCACCCGTCCCAGAAGGAGCTGGCCAACGGCGAGCCCGAGCCCATGACGCCGTTCAGCAAGGAGGTGACCTCGGCGTTCCGGAACCTGTCCAAGCCGATGTGGCTGCTCTACCTCGTGACCGCCCTCAACTGGATCGCGTGGTTCCCGTTCATCCTCTACGACACCGACTGGATGGGCCTCGAGGTGTACGGCGGGAAGGCGCAGGGAACGAACGCGGAGAAGCGGCTCTACGACCTCGGTGTTCACGCTGGCTCCTTGGGTTTGATGCTCAACTCGGTGGTCCTCGGTTTCGCCTCCCTAGTGGTGGAGCCCTTGGGCAAGATGGTGGGCGGCGTCAAGAGGTGGTGGGCCATCGTCAACTTCATCCTAGCCATCGGCTTGGCCGGCACCATCCCCATCACGAAGATGGCCAAGGCGTACCGTGCGGCCCACGGCCCGGTCCCGCCCCCCGCCAACGTCAAGGGCGGCGCTCTCAGCATCTTCTCCATCCTCGGTATCCCACTCTCGGTGAGCATTCCTTCCTGATCCGTACTTTCCATTAATAACGAAATCAAACAGGAGCAAACCAGGTCGCTAACCTTCCATCTAACGCTGTGCAGGTCACATACAGTATCCCATTTGCTTTGGCATCAATCTACTCATCCAGTGCGGGCGCTGGCCAAGGTGAAGGGATCATCCCATTCTTTGTGTGAAACAACTTGATTTCTTTTAAGGGTTCTTTAGCTAGATTGAAACTGATGAATTGTCATGATCATCAATCACCTTACAGGGCTTTCTTTGGGTGTTCTCAATATGGCCATCGTCATCCCGCAGGTAAATATAACAAAATACAATCAGATCTTTCTACGTGCATTACTTGTATCTGCTCTAGTTTTTATTATGACTACTACGCGTATCGACCGTTTCGTGCTTGTTGAAAGAAAGAGAGAAGACGAGATGTAGAAGCCCTTCCTCCTCAAGCCATTTATGATTCTGCGTGAGCCCACGTGAAGAAATCAGACTTTCTTATGACATACTTTATGGTACCGAGATATCGACTTTGGGAGCTTCCTCGTACAATTATATGTCAGACATCTTATGATACGTCGCCATCCTCCCCTGCCTGCCTGACAACATGTGACCCGGTGCAACATGCATCCCAGTTTTCGTATCCAAACCTTCTGCCTTTTTCATAGTATCCAAGACAGAGACAATGACCTACCATGAAAGTCCATTCATTACATAGCCAAAAAGAAACAGGATCGGTTGATGATTCGATTCGATTAGTTGGCTCGGATGATGATTAATTGAGACGTTCGTTTTTGTTCTCTAATTCGGTTTTGTAGATGATTGTGTCCGTGGTAAGTGGGAGGCTCGACGAGGCATTCGGAGGAGGGAACCTGCCAGCGTTCATCATGGGTGCCGTCGCGGCGCTCGTGAGCGCCCTCATGGCTCTGTTCGTGCTCCCGAACCCGCCCTCACAAGCTTCCATGCCTGCCCTCATGGTGGGTGGTGGACATTGATCAAAATCCGAAGCGTCTTGACGTAGCTTTCAAGCACAGAGTTTGTTGGTTCTAGCCACTGAAGTTGCTACTTGAGGTTGGCAAGGACATCAAACTTTCTGACGATAAAACGGAGGGATCTCGTCATCCTGTTCGGTCTTAACATCCTCTTGAGAGACAACGTCATACAAGTGACGCCTCAGGCAATTGGTGTCACAAGGTACTAGATAACAACATGTACGTCTCTACAGCAGAATAGTTCACATTTCTACAGAGGAAACTGGTGTCCTCCCGAAGCCACCAGGGAACCTGTCGGCTCGCCGGAAGTATCGCCGTTGGTAGCTTAGTCTCTGATGGCGGTGGTAGTGACGGCAATAGATTTTAGTCTCTGATGAGAGTTTGCATGAGAAAGAGTCATGCAAGCGAGTTACTCTCATGTAATCTCAGATTCACAGGGACAAAAATATATAATCCATGTGGGAATTGATTCAAGTTCTTTTTTGCCTCGAACATACAACCATAATTAGCTGGCTATTAGTAGAGAGACCAACAGGACCGATTGATTACGTATCAACGCGTACTTTAAAGTTGTTTCAAAATAGAGAAAATAACTCGCTGAAGATTTAAATATGTTGTATATTTCATGGTGACCTGGCTAATTGTAAGTAAAGTAGACTGAAAAATCGACCGATATAAAGAAACACATGTGAGTTGATAAACTCGCAAGAACAAAATATAAACGTTATCTGCATTTTATCTTAATATCTTAATGAGAGGTTCGGAATTAACACTTCTAAGAACGTATAGAAATGAAAAGAATTTTTATAAAAACTAAAATTGTAGACCCTAATTTGTGAAGATGATTTTCTTTGTTCAAGGGGAAAGAAGAAATGAAGTTAATAAAGTTGGGCCATGTTTAAGCTGCCTTGGCCAAGTTGAATTTTCAGCAATATATAGTCAGATGTTGGTTTAAAGTACTGCTCCCCTAAATAATTGACAAAATGAATGCATGATGAAAAAAAATGCATATAAAATTGCCATTTTGTCTCACTTTTCACAAGTGACAATATGATTTAGGGACACTATTGTCATTTTATAAATTTTTAACTTATACCTTTACATACATCAAATCTCGATCTTACATTTCTAAAATGATATTAATATATAAATTAGTAGTAAGAACATACAAAAATAGTTGCGACGTCCGCAGCGCGTGGGCGAAAACTAGTTACTATCAAGGGAGAGATCCTTTTGGTGTCTCCCACTAGTTTTCAATCTAATTTCTTGATTTCTTAACCAGATAAACAAACTAAAATCAAAAGGAAATGAAAATCTCTACTCCCTTTTGTATTCCAAACTATCTTTCACTCCCTCCCTTTTCAATTTATTTCTGTGCAAAAGTAGTTACCCCTAAAATTTTGTCGGTCTCTCGATAATCCATCATTTACATTCTCGTGTCACACTTGTAAAAGAACAATTTTCTCGACTATAAATCTGAACATAACGACCATTAATGTGCTATGAAGCAACGGGAATAACGATCATTAAAGTGCCGTGAAGCGGCGCACAACACGAATTTTGCGCTGGCTTTGTTTGTCTATTGGCATGGCGCCAGCGAAATATCAAATTGTCTTGAAAATAGTGCGAGCCACTTGCTTACATACACATGTGCATTTAAAGTTACTTCAGTATTTATGAAATTATTGATCACTTAAGAACATTACTAATGATAACCATTCTGTTTCTTTGTTTTTCTATTTTTTTGTTCATAAAAACAGATTTGGAATAAAAATTTGGCAATTTCATTTTTTTATTTCTGGAATAAATTTTGATTCTAGAAATAGGTTTGAAATAGAAATGAGAAGTAAAAATTTTCTACTTTTCTATTTCTGGAACAAAAATGAGAAATAAATATTCTTCTCATCGCTTATTAGCCGGTCGCCGGTCGCCCGCCTCTGCCCACCTGCCGTCCGTCGCCTCCCACCATTCGCCAGCCACCGTAGGCCGCCGCCCACGTGTCGTTCGCCGCCTCCTGCCATCCCCCGACCGTTGTCCCCCGCCGTCGACCGCCGTGGCCGCCACCCTCCTCTCGCCACCCTCTGCCTCCCGCCGTCGGCCGCTGCTAGCCGTCACCTGCCTCCCACCGTTGCCCAACGTCGGCCCCCTCTTGCTGCCGTCCTCCGCATTGGCCGCATTGCCGTTCGCCACCGCCTCCCATTGGCTGCTCGTTGTCTGCCGCCCACCCGCCGGTCGCCCGAGAGAGAAATTTTATGCCGTTATCAAACATATTTTTGTTTTAGGGAACATAAATTTTGTGTCGTTATTAAACGCGTATTTTTACTTAGAATCTCATCCATGGAATAGAAATAGAAAAATCTATTTCTAGGCAGAAATTGATTTCTAAAATAGAATGGTTGTTATTCGCGCCCTTACTAGCCACATTGGTATTAATGCTTTTCTATATTAAAATTAACTAAGTATATTGGTAGTTAGTTCTTCAGGTCAATTGTCAATGGAAATCGCTACCGTGGCTATCCACAAGTTGTCTTAGTCAATTTTGTCACGTAGGATGACTGGGGATGAGTTGACATCGCATTAGCAATTTCCGGCGGTAATTGGCCAGAAGAACTGCGTTAATTAAAATATTCATCTATTCAAATTAGCATGTATAGTACGTAAACAAAAAAATTACGTTACGGATAGAAGGCATCAAATAAATAAAAAGAGCAATGATATAAGGTACTATGATCTGCAGGAATATTTCTCAATGAGGGACTTTCCCAAAATGTACTTCTAAACATTGAAATGTATATAATGCAAACCCAACCCAAAATATTCTTATTGAAAATGTTAAAGGATACTCCTAAAGCACTTGTTAAGCCTCACTGATTATACTAAGACATTTTGATGCAACATAAGAACAAGATCACGATCTTCTTTACATTCAAATGAGAAATGTCAATAAAAATTTGGCCAAGACCACCTAAAACACATAACCATGGAAAAATTCTATACTTTTTTTATATACAAAAATATTATCCTAAAATTTCAAATTTTTGGCGAAATATCAATTTCTGGCCTCATTATGCAAACACAATATAATAAGTTATTTGTTTTAATGCGATAACGACATGTGTTTCCTATATCCATTCCATGTTGTAAAAGATGAATTAGTATGAAAAGTGGAACATCCAAAAACTTGTTCAATTAAAGATGAACACTTAGATCGGCAAAATAATTGCGCTAATTTGAACATGAGATCCCTCGTTTTTTGCATCGAACATTTACCCTCAGAGCTAAAGTGATTACCTTCGTACAGATATATAAATACCATAATTATACAATTAGATGAAAAAGAGTACAATGTAGATATAATGTCAACCTGTCGTGACATCCCAGACATCTTAAAAGGTTTAATGATATCCAAGAGAAATACTTTTTTTTGCTGGAATCCAATATAAATATTTTTTTTTTGTCTATCCTATCTCTAACTCTCCTCATCCTCTAACTTTTGCTCCGCCTCTTGCAAAGAGAGGAAGTCAAACTCTGCACATGTGATATTAGCGTCCCCCCAATCCTTTTACCAGTAGGGCTGCATGCCTATTGGCCAATATAAATTACTTAGATGGCCTAGTTTACGCAATGAACTCAATATGGAAACTTGTGTCGTAAGATAACTCATAGAAAATGGAAAACACCAAAATGCACTTCAAAATGAATATGACAAATATAGCAATTTACCGATAAATATAAAGTCTAGAGATTTGCAAATATATTTTTTTTGCCAAAATAAAAAAGAATTACTTTTTTTTGGTCGCTCCAAAAGAATTACTTGAGCGGTCTATTTAATGCAATTAATTCAATATGGGAAATTGTGTCCCAAGAGATAACTAATGCAAAAAAGAGTACACTAACATGCACTTCGAAACGTGGCAACGAACATAATGCAAATACTTTGCAGAATATTCATATGCAAAAAATCTTTAGAACAGCAATTTACCTTAAATTCAAATGCAATCCAAAATATTTCTTTTGTGAAGATGAAATCTAAGTTTCATGTAAGGTATGACACTTTTTATTTTACACGTGTACACAAATCTTATCCCAATATGTAAACCATGGAGCAAATATCAATTAGCACCTAATTGTGCAAATTCTTTTGTGACACATATACCTCAAAAAAATTTTATGTCACAAACAAATTCAAACTTATACATAGGTAATATATATACCCTCTATTTCAGCTCCATCCATGGTATATTTGTCACACTAGTATGAGTTTGGGGTTTTTCTATAACACGAAAAAAAAATTGAGGGTATTTGTGTCACAATAGGTTTTTTTTTATACAAAAAAAATTGAGATATTTGTGTCACAGTGGATATAAGTTTGAGATTTTATTGTGGTATTAACCCTTGTGGTCAACCCCCCATTTAGACTCATGCATGATCCTGAGATCGTGTGCCTTACCCGATTTGTTTATCGTAAACGCGCTTTAAAGGTATTTTATAGTGAACATCATAAAATGTTTCATAACTAATTCGAAAAGTCCAATCAAACGCGGAGAAGCTAAACCATTTTCCTTAAGCTAAATTCACATATAGGCTGCATTTGTTCCGCAAAAGACATTTTCAGGAAATATTTTCCTCATTTTTCGGCATTTGGATCTCTTAGGATAATGAGTCAACGTAATTATTTTTCCTACCAAAACTTAAATTCAGGAATATGATTTTTTTTATTAAAAAAATCAGAAATCATTTTCTAAAATATGATTAGGTATCGGCAGTTGGACCGGAAACTCTACGCTTGGGTAAAGAAACCCCAACGCTTGTTCTTGAACCCTTGGTACCCCGGCACCCTAACCCAGGTCCATCTAGGCCACGCCCAAGACCCCGAGTCTCAAGCCTTGATGGACTCAGGCATGGGCGCCAAGGTCTTAGACCTGACCTCAATGAACTTGGGTTTGGGCTTAGGGGATCGGGTCCCAGTGTGAGCACTAGTACCAGAGTCCTGGCTTGGCCTCAATTGACCCATGCCCGAGAGCCAGGGTCCTGTTCACGAGCGCTAGGGTCTTGGGCCTAGGTCCTACCGAGGCTCAGGCACCAAAGACCGAGGCCCAGCCTCTATAGACTAGGGCTGGAGCTCCAGGGAACCAGGCCTGAGTTCTCGGGCTCGATTTCGGTGGATCCAAGACTAGTGCTCGTGCTCATGCCCGGGTGTTCGTGATCCAGGCTTGAGACCCCGATGCCCATGCCGGGTTCCTAAGCTACCTATGTGCAAGCCACTGACGTCTAAATCCAGGCTCGATTTAGGGTTTTCCTCGCCAAATGACGGAAAATATTTTCCAATTCATTTTTAGGTCTTCACCAAACAATGGAAAATATTGTCATTTTCTTGAAAATTGAGTTCCCGAAAAATATCTTTAAAGAATTCCACATTTTTCGCAAAACAAACGTAGCCTTAGAATATATTTTTCAAGCGACGTCCGACTTCGTGAAATAAGCGAAACTTGAGTACCATTATGTTTCGTCAAAAGGTTATGCCAATCATGAACCGATCCTTTGACAAAGTGCGACATCGCGAATCGAACGGAAATGTCACTATAGCAAGAGTGTGACTAGGGAGATCGAAATGGTGCAGAGCTATCTTTACTCTAATTCTAAAGCAGTTACTCCTCCCTGATTTCGAGATCAGATCGTGCTTTCTTTGAGGTAAATAAATCGAGGAGGAGATATTAGGATACCTTTTTTTTTTTGCTAGAAGATATTAGGATACCTTGATAAAGCAGCAAAAAGAAAAGAACATGACCATTGAAATTGGGACTTTCCTACTCCCTTTGACCACAGCTTCTAGGGAAGTTAAATGCTAGTAAATGCCGGTCTCCCTCGTAACCATCTTTCATTCTAGATGAGTATGACGAGTTCATTCACCCCAAAATTTATGACGCGTCGATTAAGGATAACGGACGGACACATACGTTGGACTTGATGCACCCATCTATAATGATGAACGAAATGGGTATGTTCATTTTGGGTTAATACCACAAAAAACAATAAATTATGCTCATTGTGATGTTAATATTCCAATTTGTTTTATTACTAAAATTAGGGGTGAACGGTTCTCGGTCCGGTCCGGTCCCACTCAAGAACCGGGAACCGGACCGGAAAAACCGGTTCCCAGTTTCTAGGACCGGACCGGCTAGTCCTGGGACCGTGGACCGGACCGAACCATCAGTCCGATCCGATCCGGTCCAGTTCCAATGAAACCAACTTTATTCAACCAACAATGGCTATAATGTCCAAAAATTCTTAACAAAATACTTAACAATCACGAAACAATTACTAAATGAAAAAACCAGACCTACCTCCGTGTTCTCTCTAGTGCTACTGATCAAATATAGAAGTTTTTCAGGGTGCTTCTACTGAATTAGGTAGGTCAAAGATCAAGCTTTCAGCAAACAACATTGACCAAACAGAATAACCAACAATGTAATGTACTGCTGTGATTCCACAATGTCCAGATATCCAATGTAAGGAAGCAGAGATATACACGGGACCTTCATCGCACATGATGTACCAATGACATACCAATAAAATCTTCCCTGCAGTGCTTTCCTGATGGGTGAAGATACACAATACAACACAAAAGAAACTTTATGCAGTAAAGCTTTCACGGCAGTCTCATTGGTCCATAAAACCATTATGGCTATTCAGAACAAAAGATCATCGGCAGTCTCATCGGTCCACAAAAGAAACCTTATGCAGTAAAGCTTTCACGGCTAGTATCCAAGGTTGATGCCGCAACTTAGCCTAACGGAACTAGATGCAGGTGAATTAGATACATAACCAGAGGACATTGAACAATTATCCCAATTGGAACTCCTCCCAATATGCTTTAAGCATCAGCCCAACCACAATTAAACTTGTTGATAGTCCTGCAATATATTATATATGATTACTGAACATTAGTTTTAAACTAGAATTATTAGCAATCGAACTCAAATAATTAATGGAAAAACTCACCACATATATTTCTTCCACTTCAACTTGCAAACTCTATTTACCGGTAAGCCCCGAGTGAACATCGTCCATATCTAACAAAAATAAAATATTAAATAAAGCATTCACTTGTTAGATATACGAAAGAATTACAAGATAAAAAGATAAATTTAGACTTACCCCACTCAAACCTTTCTGCATTCTCGATGCACTCTTCAACATTAATCGGCATGGTAACCACTCTCAACCAATCTTGAGTGCAAATCAAAGCTTCGACCACTCTAGGAGTCAAAGAACTTCGAAAACCATCAAGCACACGACCGGATGTACTAAAAGTTGACTATGAAGCAACGGTTGTTACCGGAATAGACAAAATATCCCGAGCCATCAAAGAGAGGATTTTAAACTTTTGGCCAACAGTTTTCCACCACACCAAAAGGTCAAGATCACGACCTTCTTCACGTTCGGCTTTAAGATACTTATCGAGCTCAGATAAGTAGCCCGCGGACACTTTTTTCTCCTCGTAAAGAAATAATTCGTATGCCTTTTCCAAATCAAAATCCACAACCAAATCAAGCTCGTCCTTGTCACCCTCCTCATGACTATCAGGATCCCAACTACTAACAATATCAATGGAAAGTTGACCACCCAAATTTCCGTCGTTAGAACCAATAAAGATTTTTCATAAAAATGAAACAAACGTTCCAGGGCAATCCTCACCTTATCGGACATCTCATCAACTTTCGCACTATCATCATAGATTAGTCTAAAACAATACCGGACATAATTCATCTTTTTTCTTGGATCCAATATTACCGCAGTTAACACCATCATATTTACTTTTTCGAAACTCCCATAATATTTGTCAAACTTATCCTTCATCTTCGCACCCATAGCTTTCACCCTAGGATCCAAAGCTTTCTCCGCTTGTTTCAGAGTTTTATATAAAGTAGCTATCTCGTTGAAATAATCATTCGAAGTGACATACAAAGTCCTGGACATCTTGTTGGTGGCATCATAAAACTTCTTCAAAAATATGGAAAGAATTTTGGCATTTTCCCAATCTTCATGTTTAGGAGTTTCATAATCAAGCTCGGTTAACAAAGAAAGATCTTCCTCTTCCATCCTTTCAAAAGCTTTTCTAAACTTTAAGGCGGTGTCTAACATGAGGTACGTGGAGTTCCACCTAGTTGTGACATCAAGACAAACTGAACCCTTATAAGTGATCCTTGCACTTTCAATGCAATTTTTGAATGTTTTAGCTCTCATGGGAGAACCTCTCACATACCTAATCACGTTTCGAATACGTGCAATAGAATCACGTACCTCGGTCAATCCATCCCTCACAATCAAGTTTAAAATATGAGCCGTGCATCTCATGTGTAGAACATCACCATCTAAGATCAATAGCTTATCTCTTGATAATTTTTCTTTCAAAAAACCAATGGCAACATCATTCGAACTAGCATTATCCACAGTGATTGTGGACACTTTTTTCTCTATTCCCCACTCGTAGATGCATTTCTCAACCATTTTCCCAATATCCTTCCCCTTATGACTAGGCATCACCACAAAATTGATGATTCTTTTGTGCAATTTCCAATCGTCATCAATAAAATATGCAGTGAGATATAGATAGTTCAAATTCTGAATGGAACTCCATGTATTAGTCGTGAGTGCGGCCCTAGACTTAAGCTTGCGAAAGTAAGTCTTCAAACTTGTTTTTTCACAGAGATACAACTTCATGCAATCTCTAGCCAGTGTAAATCGTGAGATGTGATTGAAGAGAGGTTGTAACTGATTAATAAAATCACGAAATCCGACACTCTCAACCATTGAAAAAGGTTGTCCATCCATTATGATCATCCGAACAAGCATTTGCCTACAACGATCCTGATCAAATGTCTATGTCGATAAGACATTAGCACTACCGGTACTGGTATGCCCGCTTGTCATTTGAGTCCCATCTACTCTACGTGCAACAAACAATTTTTTATTCTTATCTATATTGCGAGGATACTTGTTGCACCGTTTCAAGTGCTTCAACATAGCAAAAGTACCATTACCAACACTATACGTATAGTGTGCCCCACAATAATTGCAAAACATCTCCGTTTTCCCATTTTCAGTTTTTCCTTTGCGAAAATGAAGCCAGGCTATTGATTTTTGTTTACCAGAAGGATAAGTATTAGATACCTTGTTTGTGTCGGATCCCTCTATGAAGTCTTCTTCACCTTCATCTTCTAGTGAGTCAATTACCGGATTCATAAAATCATGGGATTTGTCCACTTCCATTGACATTTAAATAGATTACTGAATCAAGCAAAACATAATTGGAGCCATCAAACCAGAACACCCACCAAATTCAGTAATAATTGTACCATTAGGATTGACATCAAGAATTTAAGCATTATCACATACGATTTTTTTTGCACTGTTTGCGTGACTAGATATGAGTTGGTCGTTATGTACTGTGCTCTTGCTGTTAGCCTGTAGAAATCCACCAACAAGATCAATTTGTCTGAACGAACAGAATGTCTCTCTATAACAATCTACGGATGGACGCGTTTCGCTTAGCAACAACAGAGGCCGCGCCCTCACCTAGTTTCCGCGTCTTGTTGGCGAGAACGCCCAGGTACCACGTGACTCGATCGAGCTTCGCATTGGAATACTCGTATAGCTCGCTCGCCTCCTACCTCAACTCCAAGTAATCCTGCCTCGCAAGCTGTCGCGAAAAAGTGAAGGAATCGACTCACACGAGAACGGAAATTCCACATCTAGACCGGACTTAAAACAGGCAAATCTACCCCACACTCAATCAGACCAGAAAACGGATGCGAGACATGGGAGCATTTCAAAAAACCTAGACATCATCCGTGAGCCGCTGCACCTTGGCGGCCAGTGCGTGCTACAAGGAGGGCAGGGAGGAGGCAGAGATCGAGTACCGCCGGGCAAGAGGAGCGCTCAGCCTCGGCTGGTCGTCGGCGTCAAGCGAGGCGTGAGGCCACTGGCAAGGCCATGAGAGGGAAAGGCGTTGAGCGAGGCGTGAGCGAGGTTGCGTAAACTGAGTGAGGAATTGGCGAGAGTGAATTGGGGAGAGCCTCGGTGATTAGGGTTTGCTGCAAAGGACTCTGTTTTCTATTTTATGGGAAAGGGGGACTTTTGCCGCACAGCCCACAGTGGCCATAGGTAAACAGATAAAAATGATTTATATTTTTTTCATAAATTTTAAAAAAGTAAATAAATAAATATATTTTCTGAGCAAAAAAAAAAATTATCGGTCCGGTTCGGTCCGGTTCCCACCCTAGAATTGGGAACCGGACCGCCCGAAAACCGGTTCCACTTTTAAGAACCTGGAACCGGACCGATACTCCCGAGAACCGGACCAAACCAGCCGGTCCAGTCCCGGTTTGGACGGTCCATCATGCTCACCCCTAACTAAAATCCTAAACTATGCCCATAACGATACTAACACTTCCAAACTTTTTTTAAGTCACCAAGATCCCTAAATTATGCTCATCATAACAATAGTACCATAAATTTTTGTCACACCGGGCAAGTTTGGGATGTTAATTACACGGAAAAAAAAATAGTTTTGAGTATTGCCGTTACAATCATAATGGGCAAAATTTAGGGTTTTGGTGGAATGGTATAAGTTTGGGAGCGTGGTGAAAAGTTCAAGATATTGATATCACAGTGAGTATAAGGGTTGTTTTGTAGTATTTTCCCTCCCATTTTTCACCCCCAATGTACTTTGCTTTGATCCACCCCTTTTTCATTAGTTAAGTTTATACAATTCAAACGAGAAACGACCCCTCCAAGCCATTAATCTAGATAAGATTAAACAAACTCAAATGGAAAGAACCAAATCGCTCAAGTTATTAATATTACCTCAGTCAAAGAAAATAGAAAAAAATATAACAAGCATCTCATTTGGATTTGGACTATTTGTGCACATGAAACATGGTATGGACGCCGCATGCGCATAGGTTTTTTTGTCCCCAAATCTCAAATTGGAAAGTTGGCAGCCAAGGAAGGGGATCGACGGAATCAAATCCATTCGGACAACGACACATTTTGTTCTTTACCTTCAAATTTGCAACAGGATCGAGTGACACCATAGATTAAAATTAGGCACACGTCCAATAAAGTTGCATTTGTCAGTTCTTCACGAAGAACTCTAATTTGCCAGCATCCCTCCCATTATCGTTTTTTTTTGTGTCTTATCTAACCTTAACACTCGGTAATGTACCTTGCTGTCATCTTATCAGATTACCAAGGTCGTAGCTCGAAAATGACGACTCACGGACGTCGCCATTTCTTTCTGGGTTTGAGCTAATTTCCACCAATTTGTTGGGGGCGGTGCCAGACGATAGCTATCTGATAAGCACTATCGACCCACGCGACAACTGGATCAAGACATACAAGGAGGAGGACCCAAAAAAAGGAAAGAGAACAGATAAGGGAATGGACTGTAAAAAAAGCTACCACGCACGCGTGAAATAGGCAATGAAAAGGCGTTAAATCCTAAACCTGCCATAGCCAGAGCGATGCTTATCCCTTACAGCAACGCTTTCCAAAATTAGGGCAATGGAAACATTCACCACGATCGAGGTGGGTGGACATCCATCGCTCTCTCGGATGTCCCTATCGTTCCCTTTGACCCTTCGCCTTTATAAGAGCTTGGTTTCCACAGTAAACGAACCCCCACAAGGATCAATTCGAGCACTAAATAAAAGAGGAATAAAGAGAGGGAGATTGCCAAGTTTTTGGGGTCTCTCTCGCTTGTCCAGCCACGGCAGATTCCTCCCCCATACCCACCACGACGACGAGGATACCCAGACGCAGGCGAAAGCGCAAACCGGAGAAGGAGCTCAGGAGGGACTTGCGTGTAGCCGCCACGGCAGCGGACGACGACGGTGGTACCGGCCAGTGATTGTCAGGGAGCATGGAGCAAGGAGGTAGTAATGAGGTCATGGCGCCGCTGTGGAAGATCATCGCGATCGCGGCCATCGCGGCCGGGATCCAGTTCGGCTGGGCCCTGCAGCTCTCCCTGCTGACCCCGTACAGCCAGCAGCTCGGCGTCCCGCACATGTGGGCGTCCTTCATCTGGCTCTGCGGCCCCATCTCCGGCCTCCTGGTCCAGCCCATCGTCGGCTACTTCAGCGACCGCACCAAGAGCCGCTTCGGTCGCCGCCGACCCTTCATCCTCGCCGGTGCCGGCTTCGTCGCCGTCGCCGTGTTCCTCATCGGCTTCGCCGCCGACCTCGGCCACATGGGCGGCGACAGCCTCGACAGTCCAATGAAGCCCCGCGCTGTCGCCATCTTCGTTGTCGGCTTCTGGATCCTTGACGTCGCCAACAACATGCTCCAGGGCCCCTGCCGCGCCCTCCTCGCCGACCTCTCCGCCCATAACCACAAGCGCATGCGCGTGGCCAACGCCTTCTTCTCCTTCTTCATGGCCGTCGGGAACGTCCTCGGCTACGCCGCGGGCTCCCTTCCCAACATCCACAAGTTCCTGCCCTTCACCACCACGATCGCGTGCGACGTTTACTGCGCCAACCTCAAGACCTCCTTCCTCATCCACATCGTCTTTATCTCGACGGTGACGATCACCGCGATCCTTTTAGTCAAGGAGACCGTGCACCCGGTGCAGAAGGAGCTGGCCAACGGCGAGCCCGAGCCAATGACTCCGTTCCGCAAGGAGGTGACCACGGCGTTCAAGAACATGTCCAGGCCAATGTGGCTGCTCTACCTCGTGACCGCCCTCAACTGGATCGCCTGGTTCCCCTTCCTTCTCTACGACACCGACTGGATGGGCCGCGAGGTGTACGGCGGGACGGCGCAGGGGACAAACGTCGAGAAGGGGCTCTACGACCTCGGTGTCCACGCTGGCGCCTTGGGTTTGATGCTCAACGCGGTGATCCTTGGTTTCGCCTCCCTAGTGATTGAGCCCATCGGTAAGTTGGTGGGCGGCGTCAAGAGGTGGTGGGGCATTGTCAACATCATCCTAGCCATCGGCTTGTTCTGCACCATCCCCATCACGAGGATGGCCGAGGCGTACCGGGCAGCCCACGGCTTGGTCCCGCCCCCCGCCAACATCAAGGGCGGCGCTCTCAGCATCTTCTCCATCCTCGGTATCCCGCTCTCGGTGAGTATTCTTTTCTTTCATGTACTTTTTCTTCAATATTGTAATCAAACAGAGAGCAACCAGTTCGCTAACCTTCCGTATAACGTTGCACAGGTCACATTCAGTATTCCATTTGCTTTGGCATCGATCTACTCATCCAGTTCTGGCGCTGGCCAAGGTGAAGGAATCATCCCATTCTTTGTGTAAAAATAATTCGTTTTCTCTTCACGGGTTCTATGAAACTGATGAATTGTCATGATCATCAATCACGTTACAGGGCTTTCTTTGGGTGTTCTCAATATGGCCATCGTCATCCCGCAGGTAAATATAACAAAACGCAATCAATTCTCTCTACGTGCTTTTACTTGAATCTGCTCTAATTTTTCAGATGCCTCGAATGATGATGATTCATTGAGATGTTCGGAATGATGATGATTCATTGAGAAGTTCGGTTTCTGTGCTTTTCTAATTTGGTTCTGCAGATGATTGTGTCCGTTGTAAGCGGGAAGCTCGACGAGGCATTCGGAGGGGGAGGCAACCTTCCCGCCTTCATCATGGGCGGTGTTGCGGCAGTCGTGAGCGCCCTCATGGCCGCCTTCCTGCTCCCGAACCCGCCCTCACAAGCTTCCGTGCCCGTCCTTATGGCCGGAGGCGGACATTGATCCGGAACCGAAGCATCTTGACGCCACCTTTAACTGCGACGATCTCCCTCTCTTTTTCCCCTCCGTACCTAACGTGCATGCTCGTTTTGTTCCCGCGGTGTCGCCCGGCTTCATCACCGATCCAAATTGAGGTCTTCGCCGCCGCCGCCGGATTTTTGTTTTTGTGTTTTTTTTTTTTGTGAATTTTGTGGCTTTGTTCTCTTTTTGTAATTCCCCGGTTCTGTAATAAATTCCAAAATCAAAAAAACATGCGAATATGAAATCTCTATTTCTTAATTCCTATCGCAACTCTCCAATTTTCACTCCTAATTCTAGTTCTATCTGATAAAAGTGCATTGCTTTTTCATACATGATATGCACGCAACGCGCACTGGTACAAGAGATTGACGCTGGATAGGGGTGTCAATGGGTCGGGTTGAGTCAGGCTCTCCTGATACCCGACCCAACCAGAAATGTACAGGGTCGCGCTAAAACCGCCCCGCCCCTACCAGCATTTACTTCAAGAGGAGCGACGGGAGATGCTAAAATATCTTTGCTGCTGTGGGTATTGGGTAAGTGGGTACTGGTGTCAAAAAGCCCGACCCGGCCCAATCCTAACAATACCCACACTTAAAAATCCTACCCTAAAGAAGACTAAGGCCTGACCCCAAAATATCCGAAATTTTAGGATAGGGCCAGGCCGGGTTGGCAGTTGGCTTTTTTGACACCCCTAACGCTGGACATGCTAAAACACTATTGGTATTAGATTTGGGTAACTATTATATAACATATGAAAAAAGAGGACTCGTACCAAGAAGCGAACTAAGTTTATGAGTCATTTTGAGATAAATAAGAATCTAAAAATTCATTAGTTTATCATAAAGTTCACTATAGTTCACAATTGTCTATTAAGAATGAGAGAAATGACTAGATATTTGGCAATAAATTAGATTTACTATATACATTGGCTGCATTTGGTAGATCGGATATAACTCTAGATAAGATAAATTTTTATCATATCCAGTGTTTGGAAGAACACGGGATTGGGATATGATCCGGATATAAGCTAGATAAAAAAAAATCTCACCCCGGGTGTGACAAAACTGGATAGGATATTTAATATGAAAAAATTGAGAAAAAAAAAACCAAAAAAAAAGAAGAAAAATCCTAGGTTTGCAGCTCTCAATCGATCTCTCTTCTCAAGGGGAATTTTTTTGAAGAATCTCCAGCGAAGGTGTTCATCCTCTTCTTCGCTTTCAGCACACAAGGCCGAGGAGATGGCTCTCTCTCTCTCTTCTATGCTTGAAGCCAACGCTCTCCGATCAACCGATTGACCGGAGCAACTCAGTGAGTTCGATTTGTGTTGGCCGCGCCAGAGAACCTAAGCATGGATCAGTACGCGTACCTAGCGAAGTTCACCATGCAAGTAGGCCGAGTGGTACAAGAAGATGGTCCAGTTCATGCAGAAGCTAGTCGAACTGCCCGCCGTACTCACCGTTGAGGAGTGGAACCTCTGTGGCCTACAAGAACATAATCGATTCTCTCAGAGTGGCATAGCGCTTCGTCTCCTCCCTCGAGCGGAGGGAAAAAGCTCTCTTTGGATTTCTCTTTTCACGTCTGCTGCGCCTCTTCCTGTGGATTCCATTGCCTCTTCCTGTGGATTCCACTGACACAAAAACCGGGCTATCTCTTCTCCTATCAAACGTACACCTGATTTCGTTCTTCATATTTTCTCTTCTAACTTTGCTCTGGTTTATATTGGGCAAGTGAGATTTTCAAAAATCTTTAAAGATTTTTATCCTATCTTGAATTGCACCAAATATGTAATGGGATTTTCTATGATCCGGAGGATATTAATCCGACCTTATCTTATCCTATCCGAATCCGAATCCGAATCCGGACGACCAAACGTAATAGTTTGACTAAGTAAAAATTAATTGGTTTGCCATAAAGTTCACAATTGTCTATTAAGAATGAGAGATTCGATTAGATATGGGGGCAATAAATTAGCGTTTATTCTCCGGGAAGGTGATTTGATAAATTAATGCTATTTATTTTTAATTGTTACTAGGTAGATTTTAATATTCCAGTTCGAAATTATGCGTATTTTAAGGCTAGAAAAGAAAGCTATGGCAAAAAATGCTTGATGATTCTACTTGATGAAATTCGTGAGTTTTGAAAAGTTTTACTTGATGAACAGTAAAACAATTCCCAACGATTTCAAATGTTTTAATAAAAGAGACAACTCAACATTAATTGAAAAAAAAAACTCGCTCAAAAAAAACGTTAATTGAAAATTAACAAAAGTCTATATGGTAAGAATTTGTTTCGGTGCCTTTTGTGTTTTTATTTATTAAATATTTCTTTTCGCATCATTTAAATTTGATTTAACGAAAAATGCATAAAACCTTTTGAAAGATATTAAAAATACACAAGGATTCGTAAAAAAAAATTTCTTAAGTTTCTTAAAGATTATTATGTTTTTTTTTTCATTTTCGAATATTGAAAAACAGTAGGATTTGTTTTTACTAAGAAAAGTATATATTAAGTATATTTTTAGTAATCTATCTTTCCTTATTTGTGCAATTTATCCCCTTTTTCTCATATGACTTTGTATGTCTTTTCGAGTTTCGAAGAGTCCACATTTTCGAGAGTGGGAATCTAATAGACCCTTTTCATTTTGCCTACCTACTCATGCTCCTCGCTAGAGTGAATGTCAAGATTGTGGTTCATTTGAAAAACATAAATAGTTATCAATTGATGTGTGAATAGCTTGGAGTCCAAACACTAACAAGAATGTTTTGAGTGTAGCATCTTTCACTGTTCTTGGAACTCTTGCTAGGATGTTCTAGTATTTCATCTCAATCTCACTTAGAGAAATTGATCTCTCACGATGAAGTCTTTCCGTTGGTACAACAATTTTGAGGTATCGAGAATTAAATGAATAGAATTTTTAGGAAAAATTGTCCAAAAAGTCCTAAACCTATTACACTTTGGCCAATTCAGTCTTAAACCTTTTAATTTTGCAATTGAGTCACAAACATTTTCACATTTTGCTAATTGAATCATAAACCTTTTCACGTTTTGCCAATTTCAGCTAAAAATTGCTGACATATATATGGACGTCGGTAGTGCCGCGTAGGATAGTAGGCGCTAGCGTAGACAATTTTTATAATTTTAAAAAAATATATTGAATGACTAAATTAACAATTCATTAAAAGATTTAAGACTAAATTGACAACTCATCAAAAAATTTAGGATCGGATTTGCACAATTAAAAGGTTTAGGACTAAATCGACACAATTGAAAAGTTTAAGATCGAATTGACCGCGATACAATAGGTTCGAGACTTTTTGGACAATTTTCCCTATGCGCGCATCACGCTTTTCTACTGCAAACGCGAGCGTTGTGGACGGAGATTCTGTCGCGTTCATCGATCGATTCATTTGAAGTTGTTTTTATTTATTTGTCAAATAAGTAAAAAAAGAAAAGGCGGGGGAACCTTATCCAATATCTCCCAGAGCATTTTGAATCTTATCCAAAATTAGGGCTATGGAAATATTCACCGGGATCGTTCCCTTCGATTCCTTGCCTTTTTGAGAGCTTCGTTTCCATAGTAAGCGAACGCCCCCCACCGACAAGGGTCTATTCGAGCACTGAATAAAAGAGGAAATAAAGAGAGGAAGATTTGCCAAGTTTTTGCCACGACGACGAGGATACCCAGACGCAGGCGAAAGCGCAAACCGGAGGAGGAGCTCTCAGGAAGGACTTGCGTGTAGCCGCCGCGGCAGCGACGACGACGACGACGACGACGACGGTACCGGCCAGTGGCTGTCAGCGAGCATGGAGCAAGGAGGTAGTAATGAGGTCATGGCGCCGCTGTGGAAGATCATCGCGATCGCGGCCATCGCGGCCGGGATCCAGTTCGGCTGGGCCCTGCAGCTTTCCCTGCTGACCCCGTACAGCCAGCAGCTCGGCGTCCCGCACATGTGGGCGTCCTTCATCTGGCTCTGCGGCCCCATCTCCGGCCTCCTGGTCCAGCCCATCGTCGGCTACTTCAGCGACCGCACCAAGAGCCGCTTCGGTCGCCGCCGACCCTACATCCTCGGCGGCGCCGGCTTCGTCGGCGTCGCCGTGTTCCTCATCGGCTTCGCCGCCGACCTCGGCCACATGGGCGGCGACAGCCTCGACAGTCCGATGAAGCCCCGCGCAGTTGCCATCTTCGTTGTCGGCTTCTGGATCCTCGACGTGGCCAACAACATGCTCCAGGGCCCCTGCCGTGCCCTCCTCGCCGACCTCTCCGCCCATAACCACAAGCGCATGCGCGTGGCCAACGCCTTCTTCTCCTTCTTCATGGCCGTGGGGAACGTCCTCGGGTACGCCGCGGGCTCCCTTCCCAACCTCCACAAGTTCCTGCCCTTCACCACCACGGTCGCGTGCGACGTTTACTGCGCCAACCTCAAGACCTCCTTCCTCATCCACATCGTCTTTATCTCGACGGTGACGATCACCGCGATCAGTTTAGTCAAGGAGACCGTGCACCCGGCACAGAAGGAGTTTGCGGATGGCGAGCCCGAGCCATCGACTCCGTTCCGCAAGGAGGTGACCACGGCGTTCAAGAACATGTCCAGGCCAATGTGGCTGCTCTACCTCGTGACCGCCCTCAACTGGATCGCCTGGTTCCCCTTCCTTCTCTACGACACCGACTGGATGGGCCACGAGGTGTACGGCGGGAAGCCGCAGGGGACGAACACCGAGAAGCGGCTCTACGGCCTCGGCGTCCAAGCCGGCGCCTTGGGTTTGATGCTCAACGCGGTGATCCTCGGTTTCGCCTCCCTAGTGATTGAGCCCATCGGCAAGTTGGTGGGTGGCGTCAAGAGGTGGTGGGGCATTGTCAACATCATCCTAGCCATCGGCTTGTTCTGCACCATCCCCGTCACGAGGATGGCCGAGGCGTACCGGGCAGCCCACGGCTTGGTCCCGCCCCCCGCCAACATCAAGGGCGGCGCTCTCAGCATCTTCTCCATCCTCGGTATCCCTCTCTCGGTGAGTATTCTGTTCTTTCATGTACTTTTTCATCAGCAACGAAATCAAACAGAGAGCAACCAGTTCACTGACCTCCCGTATAACGTTGCGCAGGTCACATTCAGCATTCCGTTTGCTTTGGCATCGATCTACTCATCCAGTTCTGGCGCTGGCCAAGGTGAAAGGAATCATCCCATTCTTTGTGTAAAAATAATTCATTCTCTCTTTTCGGGTTCTTCCGCCAGATCGAAACTGATGAATTGTCATGATCATCCATCGCCTTGCAGGGCTTTCTTTGGGTGTTCTCAATATGGCCATCGTCATCCCGCAGGTAATTATGACAAGACGCGAATCAATTCTTTCTACGTGCATTTTACTTGAATCTGCTCTAATTTTTTTTAGATGCCTCCGTGTTCGGGTCTTTATGCTTTTCTAATTTGGTTCTGCAGATGATTGTGTCCGTCGTAAGCGGGAAGATCGACCAGGCATTCGGAGGAGGCAACCTTCCCGCGTTCATCATGGGCGGCGTTGCGGCCGTCATGAGCGCCCTCATGGCCGCCTTCCTGCTCCCGAACCAGCCGCCCTCACAAGCTTCCGTGCCCGCCCTCATGGCCGGTGGCGGACATTGATCCGGAACCGAATCATCTTGACGCCACCTTTAACTGCTAGGATCTACCTCTCTTTTTTCCCCTTCGTCCTTAACGTACGCACGCTCGTTTTGTTCCCGCGGTGTCGCCCGGCTTCATCCCGGTCCAAAATGAAGTCGCTTTGCCGCCGCCGGGTTTTTGTTTTTGTTTTTTTTGTTTTTTTTGTTTTTTGTGAATCTTGTGGCTTGGTTCCCTTTTTGTATTTCCCCGATTCTGTAATAAATTGCAAAAAAAAAAAACATGCGAATATGAAATCTCTATTTCCTATTTCCTATCATAACTCTCCTATTTTCACTCCTAATTCTAGTTCTATCTGATAGAAGTGTGTATATGATAAAAGTGTGTTACTATCAAAGCTTTTCGTACACAATGTGCACGCAACGCACACATGATGTGCACGCAACGCAACGCAACACAACACAACGCGCATTGGTACGAGAGATGGACGCCATGCGAGTGTACATGCTAGAATCAGATCTGGGTAACTTCTATATAGTAGATGAAAAAAAGGAGGACTCGTACTAAGCAGCAAACTAAGTTTATGACCGTATGGTTTGACAAAGTAAAAATTAATTGGTTTACCATCAAGTTCACTATTGTCTATTAAGAATGAGAGATTCGATTAGATATGGGGCAAATAAATTTGATTTACTATATACGTAGGGTTTTACTAAGTAAAAATTAATTATTTACCATAAAGTTCACTATTGTATATTAAGGATGAGAGATTCGATTAGATATGGGTTAATTGGTTTACCATAAAGTTCACTATTGTCTATTGAGAATGAGAGATTCGATTAGATATGGGGCAATAAATTAGATTTACTATATACGTAGGGTTTTACTATTATGATTAGATTTACTATCGAGCGTTTATTCTCCGGGACGGTGATTTGATAAATTGATGTTATTTGCTTTTAATGGTTACTAAGTAGATTTGAATGTTCCAGTTCGAAATTATGCGTATTTTAAGGCTAGAAAAGAAAGCTATGGAAAAAAAATGGTTGATGATTCTACTTGATGAAATTCGTGAGTTTTGAAAAGTTTCACTTGATGAACAATAAAACAATTCCCAACGATTTCAAATGTTTTAATAAAAGAGACAACTCAACATTTATTGAAAAAAAAAAACTCGCTCAAAAAAAACATTAATTGAAAATTAACAAAAGTCTATTTGGTAAGAATTTGTTTCGGTGCCTTTTGTGTTTTTATTTATTAAATATTTCTTTTTGCATCATTTAAATTTTATTTAACGAAAATTGCATAAAACCTTTCCAAAGATATTAAAAATACACAAGGATTCGTAAAATTTTTTTCTTAAGTTTCTTAAAGATTATTATGTTTTTTTTCATTTTCGAATATTGAAAAACAGTAGGATTTGTTTTTACTAAGAAAAGTATATATTAAGTATATTTTTCATAATCTATCTTCCCTTATTGGTGCAATTTATCCCCTTTTTCTTATATGGCTTTGTATGTCTTTTCGAATTTCCAAGAGTCCAGATTTTCGAGAGTGGGAATCTAATAGTCCCTTTTCATTTTGCCTGCCTACTCATGCTCCTCGCTAGAGTGAATGTCAAGATTGTGGTTTGTTCGCAAAACATAAATAGTTATCAATTGATGTGTGAATTGCTCGGAGTCCAAACAATAACAAGAATATTTTGAGTGTAACATCTTTCACTGTTCTTGGAACTCTTGCTAGGATGTTCTAGTATTTCATCTCAATCTCAAATAGAGAAATTGATCTCTCACGATGAAGTCTTTTCATTAGTTGCCGTTATTAGCAATATCAACAATGTTGATATGGCAATTTTGAGGTATCGAGAATTCAATGACTAGAATTTCTAGGGAAAATTGTCCAAAAAATCCCAAACCTGTTGCATTTTAGCCAATTCTGTTTTAAACCTTTCAATTTTGCAATTGAGTCACAAATATTTTCATGTTTTGTCAATCAAGTCCTAAACCTTTTCACGTTTTGCTAATTTCAGCTAGAAATCGTTGACGTGGACGTCGGTAATGCTACATAGGATAGCAGGTGCTGACGTGGACAATTTTTATAATTTTTTTAAAAAAATTGAATGACTAAATTGATAAATTGTTAAAAGATTTAAGACTAAATTAGCACTTCATCAAAAGATTTAGGACTGGATTTGCACAATAAAAAGGTTTAGGACTAAATTAGCACAATTGAAAGGTTTAGGACTATACTGGCTATCATACAATGGGTTTATGACTTTTAGAACAATTTTCCCTATGCACGCATCACGCTTTTCTAATGCAAGTGCAAGCGTTGTGGATGCAAATTATGTCGCGCTTATCGATCGATTCATTTGAAGTTGTTTTTTTTTTTCTTTCAAATAAGTAAAAAAAAAAAGGCATGGAGAGACGACGAGCTCAATATCTCCTAGAGCATTATTACCATATGGGTTGAACATGCCCCGAGAAATGTTCATTTTGAATCATATCCTATGAAGTTTCGACCCAAAAAAAAAAATTCATATCTATCAAGTCCATTCTTTAAGTGCATGAATCTGTCATATAATTCACAAAATTAGGACATACCACTGCAAGTGCATGATGTAGCTTAACGCTCGACACACAAACCGGCTAGAGACTCCCTCTCGACATGACCCGTGCTTGGGTCGTGATACGGGCCCCAGGGTTGGGCCTTCAAGTTGGGCCTATCATACTTTTTCTCGGCCCACGAGGTCCATCGGGCCGGCCCGGTTTTAAAAGAAAGAACGGTACTTGGAGGTTTCATCCGCCGCTACTAACCCGAACACACACTCTCTCTCTTCTCTCTCTCTCTCTCTCCGGCGCGATCGATCTGCTGCTTCGAGAACCTCCGCGGGCCATAGCCGTTTCCGCCGGCGATCGTCTTCTCGAACCTCCGAGGTCGTCCGCGCAGCGAATTCCACTTCGGCGTTTTTGACCGTGCATCTTCTCCGTGTCTCTCGGCGCTCGTCGCATCGTCGGGGCCGCGCGCTCTCGAAGAAGAAGAAGAAGAAGAAGAAGACGCTGCCCAACTTCCTGCTGCTCGCCCCGGCGGTCGCGTCGTCGAGCGTGGAAGGAGGAGGGAGAGGAAGGAGGGGGACGGGACGAGACGGGACGGATGGAAGAACTGTGTAAGGCTATGGACCAGCACATGGACCAGATGGCGGATCTCGTCCAGAAGATCTCGGCCGAGCTTCGATCCGGACTTCGTCCTGCGTACGATAACTTCGTTGGATTCTTCCACGCGATTGATTGGAAGGTTTGGGTTTCTGCTTCTTTTCCCCTTTTTCCGTTGATTTGCATTGCATCACTTAAATAGAAAAAACCTTTATGGTTCTGGTGGACTGATACAGTACTGAAATTCGTGCAGCCATTTGTAGTGTTGTATTGCAGAGACCGAAAGGAATTGCATTTTCTGGTTATGATTTACTTTTGTCAATTTAAGATCGCGGTTCTTCGTATATTGTTGATGTAGGTGCCGTTTTTTTTTATTTTTTTACTTTTTTATCACGGGGAACTTATACTTCTGTGTCATTTTGCATCCTAGACTTTCACAACCTATGTCAATTTTGCTATAAACCCATAAAGTCAGCATTTTCTAAAGGCGGAATTCAATTCCTTTGGAGCAAATGAGACGTGACGTATAGCTTTGGAAATGAATTGGCTATGACTATCCAGAAGAACTGTATGGTGCCCATTTTCGTCCTCTTTTTTCTGTATCGCATTCTTCAGAAGTGATTAATTTTCACTGAAGCAGCATCAACTGTAAGGAGGCAAACTAATATGGAGTGCAAACATTAGGTGGCAAACTGTGTATTGCCCTTTTATCACTGTGCACAAAATGCTGCTGTCAAGCTTGTACATATAACCCTTGTTTGTAGAGGTTTTTAGAGGCAACCTCTATTTAGCTGAGTTTTCGTGGCAAATTACATTTCTGTTTTAAATAGTAATACTGGTCTGGAGGATGGTCACTGGTTTTATTATTGGATTAATGTATATCTAGATGTTCGGCAATTTGGTGAAAACTTTTGCTTCCCATATCCTGAACAATACATGTTTTTGTGGATATCCGACTATGCTGTTTTAGAAATGTTGGACACGACACCACCTATTGGCCCTAATATATTGAACCCTTAAAGCAATTAATTAACTTCATCTTGGATGAGCTAATATTTAACCTAAGTTGGTGATTAAAGCATTTTTATATGATCTGTCAATCTGTATGGATGCCGTTAGAACCTTCATATGTTGCTAAGGATATAGAACATGTGAATTTGCTCGCCTCATGATAGTGGCCAAGTGCTCTTGATGACTCCAGATATCATCAATTTTTGTTGTTATCACCTTGCCTAAAATTTTCACTTCTGTTGATATTTATTTCTGAAATAATGTTGAAGTTCACTCGGTGTTGATGGTTAAAGTTAAAGCACTGTTTCATCATTTTATGATTATTAATGTTGTCATTTTTTTCAGGAACCTTGGTTAATTGGCTTAATCTCATTCCATATAATGTTGCTGATAATAGTAATCATCTCAAGGAAGAGTGTCAACTTCCAAATGTGTTTATTTCTCCTGACATGTAAGTGTTCTAGCAAAATGCCCCCTATGAGTTTTTTCAGCACTTTTGTGCTATAATATGAATGATCAGCATTAATTGTGATTTGATTCCTCATTTTCTTAACTTTTTGCCATAAGTTGATGTTTCTGAACTGTCTCTCCTTCCATCTTGGGGTTCTTATACATGACAAACCAGTGAATAAATGGCATTGACATTGGCAAGAATATGACTCGCATGGAATTGTAAAACAGTCAATGCTCTTTTAAAAATGACTTTTTTAGGTCAGCTTGTCCTGGTATGGAATCTGCAAAGACAGAAATCACAACGCTCCTTGGCAGTATGTTCTTGGTCTGGTCTGAAACAACTGGCCCTGGCTTTACCAAATTCGGAATAGTCCTGACTATATTGTACCCCTTAAGCCATAGCTTTACTAGTGGAGATTCTCTACAGCCCAGGAATGTTTGTCGGAATGGAAATGCATAGATATAAGTGCAAATACAGATTTACATTATTAGTTCTGTTAGTTCATTTTAGAGGCCAACTGTCCATGCTATTGTTCCTCTTCTATTATAATCCACCTCAAGGGTAGAATATTCTGCGCTTCTTTAATGTTCAACGGCTTCTCCCGGCTGGAAATCTTTGCACGTATTTGAGCTTGAAGATTCTGTTTTCTGTTATGGCTGAATGGTAGTAACATAAGTAGGCCTCGCTGGTACTTATATTTCTGTTCTTTTGGGGATTTCGTCCTTAATATTCATAGTGAGCTTTCCCTTTATGTGAAGTAAAGATGTATGGACTTAAAGATGCTACTTGATCTATTTCTTCTTTACATGTCCAAGTGAAGTCACGCCTTCTTCACACAACTTCTTTGTAGCTTGTACAGAAGCAACTCTTGTTCCTCTCTTCTAGAATCTTTTGTAGAATTTCTCTTGAAACCCCGACATATGCTTTCACCATACATATGTTGACATCCTTGTTTGTCCTTGCACATTTCCACCAATGCTTGCAGCAAACATTATGCTTCCATTGTCGATCTTCCCATCATAAACCTAATTCGGCTCTTTGAAACATGCATTTCTTGTCCAAGCCTCCCGCCAACTTGACAGCATGACTCATCTGCTTAGTTTCTTCATCGTCGGCACAATTCTCAATGTCGTGCGAGCATTCATATGTATGAGGTGTCAAAGCACCCTTTCATATACTTACCAAGCACTTCCTTCAATGAGACTTTTCTGAAAATACAGTAACCCATCTCCTCCATAATCTTAAACAGTTTTATCATGGTTAAAGCTACAATTTGGTCTGACCATATTTCCATTCATCTTTCCAAAGCCTTAAAAATTTCATCCTCTGAAAGTTGTCCCGCAGAAAGTAATTCCTTGTCCACAAAAAGTAATTCCACATTCTTGCAAATTACTCGATATAAAGAGTGTTTCTTAATAACACTTTATGGGAAAGCTTATGAAAATCTCTTCACCATCTACTTGATACATTTTTTTCAAAATGAGATGCTCATTTTATGCTTGTGCAGCTATTATGTGCCCTGGTGGAAGAAAAGATATGATTCCTTTAGTTTATCTTGTACTAAGTCTGTTTTGAACTTCAAGTCCTGTTTTTACTGATCCTGTGCAGTGAGTGGCGTTTATCTTGCTGAGAGGCTGAATAAATTTTTGGGAGACAACTGGAGGAGCTTTGCAACCCAGAACTATTTTGATCCGCATGGACTATTTCTGTCAACGCTCTGGTCAGGGCCCCTACTGGTTATTGCAATCGTGATCTTGGTATGTGTCTGCACATCATTTCCCTCCTACTCAAGTATTAAGATATAATTCTTTGTGGCAGCTGCATCTGTCTGATTAAAATATTACTTATATATTGCAGGTAAATACGCTTTTTTCGTTGTGCCATCTGATTGTTAGGTGGAAAAAGGCTGAGCTGAGACATAGAGCTAGGCTTTCTCGTAATAAGCAGGACTGACTTTTTTATTCTGCGGTAGTTACTGAGGTAATTCGAGGCCTGATGCATCAGTTTCTCCTGAACTTGTTATATAGCTCAAGCACCCCCAATACTTGACGTGCATGGCTTATGATCATAACATATGGGGAGTGAATCTTGTATCACAAGCCTTTCTGTCTGAGCTTCTCTTCGTGCGGAGTTAGTTATGGTTGAAGATTTTTATACTTGGATCTCATTCGGTTTTGGATGGTGTAACATCATACTTTGAAAAGTCTTGTGCTCACGTGGTGTTTCTTTTTCTGTGATGTAAAGCATCTCATCTTGATAGCTGAGCTGGAACTATTGCACTTTGGGAATCATCTAATCAGGAAATTTGTCTCTATCTTGAACTTAATCGCTGTTCTTTTGTTTTTCACGTGACCTTTTGTATGGTTGACTTAATTCGTGGTGCATTTTGGTGAAATTTATGAATATTGTGGGAGGCAAACGGGTCATTTACTGCTTGCGGTGGTGTATTCTTTTTCTTTTTATTGTTAAACAACAGCAGTCAGCCTGACTATCGATGCGGTGAAAACATGTCTTCTGGGGGGAAGTTTTAACTTTGAAACCTGAAGGTGAGCATTTTAAACGAAACTTCTTTGTGTGGTATTAATCACTCCCATATTTTCATTCACTGCGGTTAAACAGTAAGGTCATGGTTATTTCACTTAACAAAGCTGGCTTCGGGTCTTGAAACCAAGTTGAGAACGATTTATGAATCACATATTGAGGAGCTGTTAGTGGACTTTCGGTTTAGACAACTATTTAAGGATCAGAATCTGAGAAAACTTCCTTCGATCAATTTTTTTTTATCGTGGATTATAAATACGGACATCATCCACTTTTTTATTTATTAAATGTATATGCGGGTGATATTCAAATTTGTAATTTGCAGACCTGAGAGGAAAGGCATGGAGGATAACATATATGCTGTTTTATACTGTCGCAAGGGCAACTTCTTAGTGTTCTATGTTCATCTTGTCGAAGGTCTCATGTATTTGCTTTAAAGAGCATGTGACAGCCATTTAGTACATGTTCAACCGATATCTTTCAGCCGGAAATTATCCCCGATTCCAATGCTTCAACAGCCTTTCGATGCATATCCGTCATAATTAACATAAATTTCATACCGTACATGCCCCAATTCTCATCATTCTATGAGGCCTCAATCATGGTGTCGCCAAAGTGAATGTTTTTACGAGTGAAAAAGAGCGAGAATAACAAAAGAACAAGCGAGGAAGAGAAGGGAGTGATGAAACACACGGCTGTTCTCACACAAGACATAAATAAAGGGCTGCGCTGAAACACGAACAATGGTTTACTTTGGGCTAAACCGGACGGAAGAACAGTAAAGTGCGCCGGGGATATGCTTATTAATGCGGCTATGGCTTTCTTCTTATGGCCAAAAAGAAGATGGAGAAAACAAGTTTGTTGGAAAGAAGAGATGCATCCCATCTATATGTATCTACCGTCAGTAGCTTTTACAATACACAGAATATCAAGCTCAACTTCCTTGAAAACATATGCACCATCAACAGCACAAAATTAATGGGTAACTGGACCACAATGGAAGTCACTTGAACCAAATGAAATCAACTGCACTCTGTATAACTCGATTCTGTCAAAAACTAGTTGCTCCTCCACGGAAAGATATACAAGCCTCATGGGGAAGGCGCGGCAGGAATTAAAAAAATCCCCGTTATACCTCTTGTGGTTGGATAAGTGGAGTTTGACTGAACTGTATTTTGGAACCAGATTGCTCCGCCAAATTCATCTTCTGCTTCAATCTCTCCCTTAAACATACCGCCTTCCATTGTGCCAGGTTGCCAAAAAGATGTCCCGCAACTCTCCGCCTCAACATGCTGTATCTGAAGGAAGTACAATGATGAAAAGCAAGAAATTAAGCAGTGAAGCTGCAAAATTAGTTATGAACCGAATATCCTAGAAGAGACGGAAAACTTGATATTTCTAGATTAATGAACCAGCACGTCTTGATACATGCATACATAGGATGGACATGAGTTCATTGGGATGAAGACGAGAGGATTGCCAGTGTCCCTTGAGTCTAGAAACAGAACATATGGGTCTTAAATCAGCATAAATAATTTGCAGAAGATATGCCTTGCTCCACCTTTATTAGCTAATGCAATGGGGCTGACTGATTTGAAGTCTAGACTAAGATCGATTGTAAAGTCTTGTTTAAATGACACGTAAACAAAATCAGCCTTCAGTAGCACTAGAACCTTGGTATTGAAGGTCTTATGGGTGATATTGCTAACCAAAACACCAGACAAGTCTCCAATCTTTTCCCTTTCTGGTTCTAAGAAAATAAAATGGGCCAACATCTACAATGAAACATCATCCGAGCATAGGCCAAATCTGCAAAAGAGGTTATATAGTAACTCTCCTAGAGAGGTACTAAACTAACCTTCTGAGGCTAAATTCTTTGGAGGATGATGTCTATTGTGATGATGGAGCTTTGCCTCTTCCAGCAATGTTAGGAAGGTAGATAAATTTCTTGAATCACCAGCAGAGTTTCTTTCAACCAACCACTCCTCTTGAAGAAAAACATTGACATCCCTGTGTAACATATTGTTTATCACATCCAGGAGCATTATAACCTGAAACGAACTACTGAAGATGTGGAAGAGGAACAGAGAGGACGAGAAAAAGTTTACCTCCTCAGAGCTAGAACTTCATAATTTCTTCGCAGATAATTTGCATACTTTGTTAGGGCTTCTTGTGCATATTCCTTACCCACAGTTCTTACTGCTGCAGCATTTAGCAAATTTTCCAATGATCCATGTTTCTTGAGCAGCTTGACGGCAGTTTTCCGACCAAATGCTGGAACCAAGTGTTGGATTCCCGGAACACCATCAACATCGTCACCCAGGATGCATCCTAAGAAATTTTCCAATAATAAGTTTTCTGGAAGCCCGAGAAAGAAAAACAGGCCGTGTTAAACGGAATGGCTGCGTGGAGATAATAAATCCCATTGTTGTTACCCAGTAGAACATAACCATTCATCTAGATCATAGTGTTATCACCAGTAGTGAAGGATGACTAGTGATCCGATTCTACACTTAAACACCCAAAAGAAAAAAAAGCTGCAGAATAGAAATTTGATTATCGTTTGATCATTTGTAAACTTAAAGCCTGCTTGTTTCCATATTTTTAAAGCATAAATTAGTTATATACTTTGATTTCTAAAAACAGTGATGTAGCACATACTTACTAAGGCTCAGATCGGAATCCGGATCACAGTTATACTGCTCAACATAGTGTTTCAGAGTGTAAAAGGACCAGCGCTGTAACTCATCCACAGGCATAACAATCTGGACATATTCAGATATCAGCTGCTTAAAATCTTTATCAGGAGAGGCAATGACCACTCGATATCCTTTTTGAAGAGCTTGCTCCACGAGAGTAGCTACGACATCATCTGCTTCGTGGTCTTCAACTTTAATGACCTGAATCACTTCATGTTACTACCAATTGAATTCTCGAAATTTTATTCACTTAAAAAAAAATATTAGTAACCATTGAGATGATCAGGAGACGGCCCGGTGACACAAAAAAAGCAGCCCTTTATATCTCTGGCACTCATGCTTTCTGATAACCAAATGAGTCTATATTCACTTTGTCATAATTACATAATCACTCCCAAACAGGATTAGTGCTCTAATAAGTTGATGATATAAACTTTAAACAAATAAAATAGAAAAACCTGAATTCATCAGGATCTTTGTACAAGTCCATCAAATAGATGGAGTTAACATTGATAAATTCCACAAGGAATACATAACACATGAATATTTAATAGACAGTTTCAAGTTTGTTCCTTTTGGTAGCGAAGGAATCACCCAATCAGAAAAGGAAATCTAGAGACTTGAATATTCTACTTTCATGACCATGGGTGGATAAATGTTTGAAATGTGCTCACTGTAGGGTTTAACATATCAAGCAGATGGCTCTGTTTCTCTTCACATATAGATCATCATCCTACCATAGATATGGGATCCAACGTAATAGTTCCTTTACAAAAACATTCTCGTCAAAGTCACTATTCCCCAATACTAACTCAGCATTATTTAGACATACAACGATTGCAATAGTTCCAACAGTTACTGCCACAATTCAAAGGATTAAAGTAGGTTCCAAGGCTTACAAACCGGCACATTGCATTCCTTAAGGAAATTTACGACGAATCGATGAGATCTGTCCACTGAGCTCCGTGAAGATCTTAGCAAAGGCGACCCATGCTGCCTTGAGAATTTCCTCCTCTGTGCTTTATACGAGGGTAACAACCGTCTCCGATGCTCGCTGCCCCTTTCCCCATCAAGAACCTGCAGGCCAACATCCTCAATCAAAAGTCGGGATTAACGAAAGGAGGACACGGACGGAGGCGACTCACGGCAACGACAGGGTCGTCGCGGCTGACTTGAGAGAAGAAGAGAGAAATCCAGCGAGCGAAGGAGCGCAGGCTGGGAGCGCTCCCCTCGTAGCACAAAGGGTTCACGTCCAAGAAGAAGACCCTCTTCTTGCTCGCCTTCATCTTTGCATTCCCCCCTCCTCTCGTCCCGTCACCAAGACTACTGGGTTCGCCTTTCGAGGAAGATTGCTCATCAGCTGTTCGACGGAATGACACCGAGGGAGAAAACGCCGCCTGGATGCTCCGCCTTCTGCTTGCCCTCGTCGTGCCGCCGGTCGCGTCTGCTCTGATCTTCAGGCTCGCGGAGAAGGGAAGAGACGACGGCCACGGCGTCACGCTCGGTCGAGGCCTCACCTGCACCGCCATCTCCATCTTCTTTCAGCTCGAGCACGCTGAGCGGTGCTGCTTCAGAAGAACGGAAGTACAGAATCACGGATGGGTTTAACTACTGCAGGAAATTCTCTCTTCTAACGGTTGAATTACATTTCCCCCCCCCGTATTTTGGCACGTATTGGAAATTATCCCCCGACTTTTTTTAAATTTCTGCAATGTGTCCTCCAAATGCTTGAATTACATTTTGCCCCCTGAGTTTTATACACTTATTTAAGTTGCTCCTCGTCTTCTTTATTTTTTGCAATTTCCATGCCAAAGCTTTGATGTCCTCTCTAGTGTTTTAACTTTGGCCAATCTCCATAGAAGGCAACTGTTAATAATTTTTCAAATCTAGCCCTTACTTTAAAAATAATCCAACGGATTACCAAACTTTGAATTTCGTTTCCATTGTAGCGTTCGGACTCCGTCCAAATTTTCGAATGTATGGTGTAATCGACCAAAATTGTATGTCATTTTCAAAAAGATGACCTCCTAGAGCTTGCAATATTGGGTTACACATAAAGCAATCAAAGAAATGTAAAGAAAAATCCTAACATTACATGACACCGTACAATCTACAAATTTTATTTATCAGCACAAATTAAAGTGTTTATTCTATAAGGCAATTGTTTCTCTTGTCAAATAAAAGATACGATGCTTCAGTGTTAGCATCACTTTATGAAAAACATAGTGCAAATATCAAATGCTGATGCAGCATGACAATGTACCAAGCTTCATTATTAAAAGTACCAAATCATTAAGAATACTTTACATTGATGAGTTATTCTATGAACATGACTGCTGTGACGTTAATGGAGGCCACGCACAACTTCATGCAGGTACTAGGTGAGAGCAAGACGACCCTCGCTTTGGTAACCTAAGTCGATCTCTGGTGGAGATTAGATAAAAAGAAATTGATCAGAATCTGAGTTGAGTTGGCTTTGAAACTCATTTCTTCAACACTCTCGGGGGAACATCAAAAAAAAAAAATTGAAAAGTTAAGGGGCAACTTTTTACATGTACCAAAACCTGACGGTAAAATGTAATTCACAGTGAATTGTAAGGCAGATTTGCAGTTCATATGAAAGCTAATCAGTTGCGTGACGAGCGCATCACCCGAAACTCTAGTTGAAAAATCAATGTCATGGGGGGACATTGCAATTAATTTCAAGACTTCAGGGATAACATTACGACCAGGTGTTCAAAAAATTTCCACACACCTTCTTAACATAAAAAGTTGACAAGGAATTTAGAGGATTAGTAGTGTTATAATACTTTTTGGATTAGAAAATGAGAGAATCGAGCGTTGCGAAAATGAAAAATATTAAAAAAAAAGAGGGAAAATAAAAGAAAAAAAAGAAAAGGAGAGAGAGTGTTACGAGGGAAGAGGGGACAGCCAATGCTGACAGCAAGAGTCGGCTCCGATCAAACCAAACTCAAAGACGCACACCCCCCACATCCGTCATCACTTTCACCGGTAAGGTTGTTGAAACCTTCGCCCGCTTTCGATGCTTTCGAGGACAACCCAGACACGACCTCGACCGCGACCACGCCCCAACATAATACACGCCCCCACCATTTCCACGCTCCCATCGCCCCCGCACCCTTTCATCCCTCTCTCTCTCTCGCGCGCTCAAGAACGGAGGAGGGCCGAACACCCGCCCCGAGCTGACGCATTTTTCTTGAAATGGCTCGCCTCCTCCACACCGCGTTCCTTCCTTCCTCGCCGTCCCTCCGCATCGCCCGCAGCAACGACTCCCTCCCCGGGCACCCCCGCAACGGGCCCAGAACCGCCGCCCCCGCCCCGGCCCGATCCAAGATCCGGGAGATCTTCATGCCCGCCCTCAGCTCCACCATGACGGAGGGCAAGATCGTCTCCTGGGTCAAGTCCGAGGGCGACAGGCTCGCCAAGGGCGAGAGCGTCGTCGTCGTCGAGTCCGACAAGGCCGACATGGACGTCGAGACCTTCTACGACGGCTACCTCGCCGCCATCATGGTGGAGGAAGGCGGGGTCGCCGCCGTCGGCTCCGCCATCGCCCTCCTGGCCGAGACCGAGGACGAGATCGCCGAGGCCAGGTCGAGGGCCGGGGATGGCCCGCCCCCGTCCTCGCCGCCGCCGCCGCCGCCCGCGCCTTCCGCCGCTCCGGCTCCGGAGCCGCGGGCCGAGACCGCGGCCCCCGCTGCTCCTGTCGCGAAGGCGGCCGGGACGGTGGCTGCGGGTGCTGGTTCGGCCGCGCACCCGGCTTCTGAAGGGGGCAGGCGCGTTGTGGCATCGCCGTACGCGAAGAAATTGGCGAAAGAGTTGAAGGTTGATTTGGGAATGTTAGCGGGCAGTGGCCCCATGGGGAGGATTGTGGCTAAAGACGTGGAGGCGGCTGCTAACGTGGCTGTGGATGCAGCAAGTGCGGCCGCAGCTGCTGCCGCAGTGGCTGCACCAGTGGCAGCTCCAGAGAGGAGTGCCGGAATTGAATTGGGCACGGTTGTTCCGTTCACGACGATGCAGGGTGCGGTGAGTAGGAATATGGTGGAGAGCTTGAGTGTGCCTACTTTTAGAGTTGGGTACACTATCACCACGGACGCGCTTGATGCTCTTTACAAGAAGGTAATGTTAGGACTATGATAGTAATAATCCGCTTAGCCGTTCATTTTGGATTGCCGTTGACAGTTTGTTTGACAAATTATGCATTTTTCTGCATGAACTACGAGTTGATCTTGGAATGACTATTCAGTAGGCCGTGTCATTAGAGAGCAAAGTTTTGGATTAAAGTCGTGATTCTGTCTGAGCTAATCTTATTTTTGCGGTGTTGCATTGCTTATAGTATGGTGCCTGGTGCTTAGCTGGTATATAGCAGGTGAAGTGTTAACGTACCTGATGGATGCTTACACTGTGTCTCTTGTTTTGAGTGGTCTACTTTGGTATTGTTTGCCAATAGATACATGTGTTGTTGATGATGTTGTGATGCTCTATGTCTTCTAGATCAAGTCAAAGGGAGTCACGATGTCAGCATTGCTTGCTAAGGCGACAGCACTTGCATTGGTTAAACACCCTGTCATCAATTCTAGCTGTAAGGACGGGAAGAGCTTTACATACAACAGTAGCATCAACATAGCAGTTGCTGTTGCTATAGATGGGGGGCTGATCACACCTGTGCTTCAGGATGCCGATAAAGTACTTTCTGTTTTATTATTGAATTGCTGGAAATTTTGGGAGAGCCTTACGGTAATGTACTGGTTTAGGTGGATATCTACTCTTTGTCAAGAAAATGGAAGGAGTTGGTTGACAAGGCCCGAGCCAAGCAACTGCAACCTCATGAATATAATACTGGTGAGTACATAATTCATTCCTTTCACACATCATCTTATGGTTCCCTTATTTATATGCACAATTCTTTCTGTGGTCGTAGCACCTATTAATCCGGTTGGATCTTCAAACTTTACTAATGCTTGTGTTTCTTTGATTTGAGATAAAATGTATTGAAATGTAAGTGTTGTTGAAGTCAAAGAACTTCAATTACCGAGCTTAGTTATTTAGGGCAGTGCCCATAACTAAATGGTCTGCACACGACAATTCTTCCGGAGTAACTTTTCATGCTGGGGTGCAGTCAGATAGATGGTCAGGGATTTGAGAGTTTCTTTTACTGTTGGACTAAAGTAAGTTTCAAAATCTAAAATTCTGCTGACAGCTCGAACAGACCTTAGTTTTTCTTTACCATGATAACAGAGCTAAACAGTTTAATGGTGTGCTTATTAACTCTGACTGGATATTCTAAACTAAAGACAAACCTAAAGAGTAGTCCCATGCCCAGAAAGAAGCATTGACGAGCTATGCCTCTGGATGACAATCAACTTATATAAGCCTGGAGATTATGGAAGCATTCAGGAGTTCAGTTCATGCTATTTTAGCTTATTTTGTAAAATGATGCCAAGTATTCGATTTTTCTTAATGTACTCCTGCGTTCTTGCCAGTTTTACCAAATATTTACAAAAAGTGGTTGCGATGAAAGAATTAAAATCTTCTATACTTCTGGAGATCAGGATATGATTGATGTTGCTAGATGAATTTCATGGTGAGTAATTGTTTCATTTGCACAATAAGAAGATATCCATAACCCCACCATAAAAAAGAGTGTTGTGGCACCTCACTATAACAGTGTTTCATGTTGAGGGGTTCATTTCATAGAGAGACAGATGATTATTGCAATGGGCTAATGGCACAATTAGGGTAGTGAGGATTGTCTTTTGCTTGCCTTTGCGTGCTTGGTTATAAGTTGTTCTCATGTGCTTATGCACTTGCTTTGGCCCTAGTAGAAGGATACAATGAGAAAGTGGTAAGAACAAATCATGAGAATTCTCTTTTGCTTGCCTTTGCGTACTTGGTTATAAGTTTTTCTCGTGTGCTTATGCATTTGCTTTGGCCCTAGTAGATGATACGAGGCAAGAACAAATAAAACCGATTCAGATATTTGTTTGCTTGATGGCAGTTTTTCTGAGATTAGGGTCTGCTTATTTTATCTCTTGATTTCCTTAGCTGCTGAGAAAAGTTGGTGATTGTCTTTACGTTTCCGGTATCTGTGGACTCAGCTTATTGTTAGTGGTCTGTGCCTGTTCTAAGTTCCCAGAAGGTCCTTCCTTTCTCTTGGCTAGCTCAGGCTTGGAGCATTCCAAATTCCAAGGTTTCCTCTTTTCAATGTTTTGCACTCAGTCTTGAAAGCGGGGTATGCCATGACCCCCAACTTGAGTTGTGATGTCACTTGTTTCCCTCGGGTTGATTTTCTAGTCTCCGCAGTGGCAGCAGAACTGTTTCACTGGCAGACTGCAGTATGTTTGTGCAAACTGAGTGGGCAGAGTTTCCGTACTTCACTAAGAAATTTTTAACTTCTTTGCACCCTCTTTCGTGCCAGGCCCTCCACAGTATTTCTTGGTCAGTGGCCTGCTCAACGTTAATATCTATCTTTGTGATTTGTTTCTTATCATCGTTAGTCTTGTTAACAGGTACCTTTACTCTATCTAACCTCGGAATGTTTGGTGTTGATCGGTTCGATGCCATTCTACCCCCTGGAACTGTGAGTACTGTTCCATAAATCCCTCTGGCTTCACAGGAAATGCATTGAATGGTGTAAAAAATTGATACATGCCTTTATGCAGGGAGCAATCATGGCTGTTGGTGCATCCCAACCCACAGTTGTGGCCACAACGGATGGTCGGATTGGCATGAAGAATCAGATGCAGGTAAAAAAGACATCTGCTTATTATTCTTATGATTGGGTCTTTATGTGTAAGTTCTTCCAGCTTCATGCAGTATTTCTAACATTGAGCAAAAATAAATGATATCAGGTAAACGTCACAGCAGATCATCGGGTAATATACGGTGCTGATTTGGCTCAGTTCTTGCAGACTCTGGCCAAGATTATTGAGGACCCAAAGGATCTTACCTTTTGATTGCACATAATTTGAAAAACATACCTTTATGTTGTCTCGTCCAATTTTCTCAGAGAATGTTGGTTGCCCCGGAAACTAGTTTTGTCCTTCTTTGATTTATCAAATTTTGGCATCAACTGAATCAATTCATGCAGAAGGTGAGCTAATTTGCTTGATTGAGCTCCGTATACTGAAGTAGATTCCACTGGAGCAACGGCATATTGAGTTGTGTCACACGGATGTCTTGAACAAGCTTTTGATCAAGTCATGCTTCGTCAGTTGCTGTCTCAATGAATTGATTTTGGCTATTAGTTTCGCCGGTTTGTATGATCACATTGGTATGCTGCAGGATGAACCTGTCTTATGAGGATATGAAACCTGCATCTGAATTCTAACATGATGCATATTGCTATGTGAAAGAAGAAGAAGATTGACCTTTCTTGACCTCATTAAGGACATATATATATATATAGATTGACGTTTCTTGACCTCAGGAAATATGTTTCTAGAAAACAAAAAATAGGTATTTACTGAAGTTTCTAATATGGCAGAACTTCCCTGAACTAGACACCATCCCTGAAATAGAAACCATCTCGGCGTGCTTCTTTTCGATTGACGCCCACATTTTTTGTGATTGATGCTGAGAACCTTAATATTGCAAGTGGAAGGTCCTACCTCCTCGTGGTATTGTGTAGCAAATTAGTATGGTCATTACACATTACTTGGAGAAATCCTATATTAGTCATCAGAAATCCTTGCATTGTTGGAAAGATGAGATCGGGCCTCCTTTTAAGTGCAATACCATGGCAAAGAGGGGATGTCCAAGGTAGGGCTGGTGGCTATGATGATTTGAAACAAAGGTAACTTGTGCCAGAAAGTGCAACTACATGAACCGTCTCCGTCTTTGCATAAGAATTATACGAGTTCGATAGAGTACGTGAGTACGTTTGGCATGGTTTTTGTAAGGTCGACGGAAAATTCGTTCTGCATATCCTGTTGCCACCAGCCAGAGCAGAACCACGGACCCCGCACCGCAGTCAACAGCACCTTGAATCCTGGCAAGCTGACTTAAGACATCAGAGGCCAGACTTGGGACCAAATGGCCAGACGCAAGAACCCCGAGAAGCCGCATCTGGGCTGCTGTCAGTCTGCCTCTACTCTTATTGATAAATTATCTCTTTTCAAAGCTTTATGATTTTCTCGTCTATACATGCCAAACAAACGATAGGAACATAATTTTGTAAATCGTTTTCCAGGAATAGGTTTTCCAATGAAAGCATTGTCCAACCGAAAAACAAGTTTAGGGAAACCAACAGACTCGGAGAGAGCTCGTAACGATCAACTTTTGCATTCATTCTAGTGAGTTTGTAACAATTTCAGGGGTGGATGTACTTTTCACCTGTTGCTATAACTGATGTCAATTTCATTTCACCGGGGAGTACTCAAAACATCCCTACCACAGTGTACCTTAGAGTCTAGCATGTGATTTTGAAGATTGCAAGCAGAACTCTCCAACAGAGCCTAGTTCATCAAGAGTTCAGTTGCCTAGGAAATCAGCAACGAAATTCCTCTCTCCAGTCAGGCTAATGTCTCGACAACTAATCGATGCACCCTAAACCTCCGACGCGCACCTACAATCTCAGCGATTTTCCGTGGAATCAGCCTTCATGCTACACATGATGCTGAGATAAACAGAACTAAAACAGTTCTTTAAGAAACTCTCCCATAATATGGGGAAGGCTGAAGAAGGCTAATATAACTTGAATAAGCTTGAAATATTATCAATTACAACACCAAAAATTTTGCCTCGTCTTCCATGAGAACGCCCTAGAACTTTTTACATGACATGACGGGCTTACATCGAACCAGGTATGTAGCTGCAAGATAAACCGTACTTCCATCTATTTCTTCTCTATTACAAACCATATCACACAAAACGGGACTTATTAGTTTACAACAAAAAGAAAAAAAAAAGGACCGTGCTTTTTCTGGTAACCTCGTTTACATAAGCAGCAGTGCATTGGCTAGACAAGGATTTACCTTGCATTGAGAAGCATGCGGAGAACACTCTTCATTTTTGGCCTTGAATCAGGAGATATACTGACACATGCCAGAGCAACTCTTAGAACTGCAAGCATCTGGCTCCTCACGGTGAGGGATGTTCTACTCACACTAAAATCGAGGATGTGGTCCCACTTATCTTGCTTCGAAGTGTTAGTCGACACCCACTTAGTTAACTCGTTTCCCTGGCTACACGCTGGCTTCCCAGTGAGCAGTTCCAGCAGCATGACGCCAAAGCTATACACATTCCCAGCCATCGTTATCCTCATTGTGTAAGCATACTCTGCAAGCCACCGGATGAGAACAACTAATGGTTAGTTTTGAGGCCAAAAGGCAACCATGGCATGGGATGAACCAGATTGACTATTGATAAGAAAAGCTTAATGAACTAAATCAAGCAAATCCAACACAGTAGAGAAAAAAGACGCTGACTATTTTCTTTTGATAATTCTTAATGATGTGTAACTTTATCGAGAAAGCGCAGTCACCTTGAGAAGGTATAGCAAATTGCTAATTGATGAAAGTAATGTTAAAAGAATAAGTAAAATTCAGAGTAAATCACCTGGAGGTATGTAGCCAATAGATCCTGCTACAGTAGAGAGACTGCCTGTGCTCTTTGATGGATCGATTACCTTACAGAGCTCAATATCTCCCACCTGAGGTTCCTTCAAGGACTTGAGCAGAACAGTCCTACTTGAAAGATCGAGCAGGAGAATTGGACCAGAGGAACAATCATGCAGAAACGCAAGACCCTGAGCCACTCCTACTGCAATACTGTAACGGCTCGCCCAATCCAATTCGCTCGAGCTGTCATGCAAAACGTCGAAGAGGGTACCCTTTTGCGCATACTCGTAAAAGAGATACCCACTATCAATAGTCAAGACATAGGCTAAAGGGGTCATGACATTCGAGTTGTTTAACTTTCCCAGGACTTCTAGCTCTTGTCCAAACTTGTCGTGGCTACCCAATTGGAATATCTTATCACTCCAGTTAAGCTTCTTGATATAGTATCTTGTTCCAGATGGCATGGTTGCTTTGTAGTAGGTTGAAAACCTGGTCTTCAAAACAATTTTCGTTGGATCGGAAACTTCTTCCATGGCTTTGGTGAAGTCTATACTTGATCTGTGGATGCCATTTGAAGTCAACAAGCTGCTGTCGATGACTTGAGGAAGAGGAAGGTTCTCGCCTAATTGCAAGTGCTCGTCATTGACACGGTAAAAGCGTTTTGATACTGATATAACAACCACTGCAACGACCAACATGGCAAAAACAGCAGAGGCCAAACCAGTAAGAACTGGCACAGCAACAGAGTTTCTTTTCCGCACGACAGAAGGCCTCGGTGCTGTCCCATTAATGAGATTCATGTTTCCACTAGCTTCCACTTTGACCACATCCCTAAACTTTGGAAGAACACCTGACAGAAGATTATTGGAAAGTATTAACTGTGTCAGGGCCGGCATCTGAGTAAGATACATGGGAACTGAACCTGAAAACCGGTTGTCTGAGAGATCCAAAATCTCTAGGTTTCTTAGCTGCGAAAAAGTAGCAGGGATGGTCCCATCAAACAGATTACTACTGAGGTTTAAAGCAATCTGCAAACTCAGTGGCATGGTTGGGATATGCCCACTCAGTTGATTTTTCCCCAGCTGGAGTTCTAATAAACCTTGTAATCCCCCAATTGCAGCGGGTATTGAGCCATTCAGATTGTTGTGCTGCAAATTCAAAGTAGTAAGGTTCCGCAAGTTTGTAAGGGAAGATGGAATGGTACCACTCAGCAGATTCCAACTGATATTCAACTGTGCCAAACTCGCTAACTGTGCAATTTGGCCTGGGATGACCCCATCAATGTTGTTAAACTGAAGCTTCATGACTTGAATACTGCTGAGATTTCCCAACTCTGGTGGTAAGGGACCAGTCAGATTATTCTGCGCCAAACTCAACAGGGCCAAACTCCGACATTTGCCCAGTTCAGGAGGTACCGATCCTGTCAAGCTATTATTTTCCAGTTCCAAGTAAGTCAATTTCTCGAGGCTTCCCAACGAATCAGCAGGGATCGTACCAATAAGTGAATTGCTACCCAGTCTCAACCTGAACATGTAAGGCGATAGATTGTTAGGTATTGGCCCCTCCAACTGATTGTACGACAAATCCACATACTGCAATTTTGGCGGCGACAAAAGGTCGGACGGAATAGACCCACTCAGCTTATTGTAGCTAAGATCCAAACTTTTGAGAGACCTCGTTAACCCACTGGGAATTGGGCCGCTGAATTTATTTTGGTTCGCAGAGAAACGGGAAAGGGTTGGGATATTAGCTAGACTTTCGGGGATTTTTCCACTGAGACGATTGGAAGACAGAACCAGCACCTCCAACTTTGGGAGCTCCCCTAGTCTGTCGGGGACAGAGCCTGAAAGCCGGTTCTGGCTAAAATCAACCAGGGTCAAACTCTGATAATCTGCGACTCCCGCGGGGATTTCACCGTCGAATTCATTCGCCGAAAGCTGGAGCTCCTCCAGAACCCTGGACAGTTTAACTGGAACTGACCCGTCGAACTTATTCACACTAAGATTCAAACTCCTCAACGTGACTAACCCGTCTAATTTTGAGCCAGTGCTTCCCCGCATATGATTATAAGACAAGTCCAAGAACTCCAACCCAAGAAAACCAGTAAAAGAAGGCAAAGGACCTACCAACGCATTCCTGCTGAAGTTCAACCGCTTGAGCCCACCAATTTTTCCACAAGAAGTGATGAACTCATCAGGGAGTGAGCTCAATTGGTTGTCCGACAGATCAAGAACCTGCAAAGAATCAATCTGGCAAATCACAGGCAAAAAATCGGAGGAAGCGAGAGAGAGCCCAGAGAGAGAGAGCTCGATCACGGAAGAGTTGTCCGGACTGCATGTGGTCCTATTCCATCCACACGGGTCGGGCTCTTTGGTGATGTTCCACGATAAGTCAGAACTCGGGATTTTCTGGGAGAGATCGATCATGGCTTCCAGCTGAGGTGATGACAGCTTAGAGAAGGCCAAAGGGTAGAAGGAGAAGGAGAAGACGAACAAGAACAAGAGAGGGACGAGCAAAGCATTGCCATGCGCGCACCAGCCCATCTTTCGGTTTCTCTCGACACGGCAAAAGGCCAAGAATGGGCAGCACGAGAGATGTCGCAGCTAAGCCTCGGAAACCCAAGAGCACGTATATAAGGAGAGCCACAGCAAGAGCCAATATCCGGCTCAGATAGTGGGAAAAAGAGAAAGATAAAGCGGAAGAAGGAGCAAGGAAAGAGAGAGAGAGAGAGATGGGTCAAGAACAAGAAAATAGACGCCCATCAAGAAAAAAAAGGGGGAACGAGAAGAAAAGAGAGCGCTTCGATGGCGTAGGTTTTGGGTTTGGGCGGGGGGTGGGGGAGGAGGTGGTGGAGTTGACTGATGCTGCCAAAAGGGGAGACTTTGACTGACAACAGTTGCGCGACCCTCTCCTCCCTCTCTCTCTATCTACGTGTGCGGTTCCCTGTGCTTTGTACTTGATCTTTGTTCTTGATCTTTGTTCTTGTTTTTCTTCGTCTTCGGTCGGTTTGACCCGTTGGGACCGTAAAACACACTTCGCCGACGACCCAGCTTTTCTGAACTTCGGGCGAGTCGAGTCAATAGCGACGCTGACGGGTCCTCGCCGTGGACCCCACCACCCTTGACTTTTTTTTTCCTCTCCTTTTGTTTCCCACCTCTCCCTCGTCTCTCCGTTCGCCGGGGGGGGGAAATCGCCGGCCTCCGGCTCCGGCCCTAAGAACTCCGGCCACTTGACGGTAATGCCACGCGACGATGACATCAATGGTTCCCGAACATTTCTTTCGGCGATTTCTAAATTAATTTTCATGATCGAGTTCTTGAACTTGGAGAGAAAGATAGGGTTGGCTTCCGGGTGACTTCCACGTCAAATCTTTCGTTATTTCGACCCAAAGAGAAAGGGAAGAAATATATTGATTGATCTGGAAAAAATGACATAACAATTCGTATTATTATTTTGACCAACATAATGGTTCGTGTAAAAAAAAATGACGTGATCCGGCAATACACTTAACGAAAGGATAATGTTGAGCAGATTTATAAAAATTAAGGAATTAGATTGAAGTTCAGGAATCACATTGAAAATTAAAAAAGAAAAATTGAAGGACTGCCCGTGTTATTGCTCATTATCTTCTAATAAGCATAAGGCGGAACTTCTTGGTTCAAGCCCATCATGGATGAGATATGACAATCGCCGTTTAATCCGTGAAGCTCGTATGGTCGATAACTGTGATTACCGTGATCCATGTGAATCTTGATCAAGTCAAAGATATTTCTCAAATAAACTATAGCGTAGAGATGAGAGCATCTCGAGCGGATTGGTCTCGTTCGGTTTCGTGGGTAGCTCGAATCTAAGTCTCGATCACGGTCTTAAAGTCCCGTTCATTCGCGACGTGTGTTCCGGGGTCCATTCGATGTATGATTGCAAACCTTCAAACTTCATTAAGCCGTGATACACTTTGGAAACACTTGTTCCTCGTCTGCAATCGTTTTCTAATGTTCGCCAGTATAGTTTATCAATCTCGGCAACGTGTTGTCATGTGTAACGAAATGATGATGCATGTTGGTTGAGTTAGCTGAGTATAACTCATTGATGTGATTATCTCGTAACAAGGCTAGATCGGTCTCTTTCGATTTGTATACAAATTCAGACATGTTCGAATGATGTTTCGAAAAACGGAAATCAATTTCCGCACTCTCCTGATAACACACCATCGTTTACCACCATTTATCTACTCTGTAAACTATAAACATGCACGATTACCAGTTGCACCGCCACCGTTGCCGACCACCGCGCGTCCTTGAACCACCGTACTAAGATACCATCATCATCATTTTCTATAGTTCACAATTCATGATGCCGTCCCCGCCACATCGCATGGAACCACCATTAAGAATCCATAGCCACCACCAACCACAACACCAAGGGCATCTAACCTTCAACGCGACATGAAACTAATCTTTTTCATCGCTTCAGACATTGTTGTAAACGGCCATCCAACCCAACCCATGGCCACCGTGGTTGGGTTGTGACTAGATTTGGGGTATATGCTGAGCAGGATCTCGAGTCGGGTCAAGCGCAATCCTGTTGGTTTTGGGTCGGGTCGGGTATTATGAAAGTCCGACCCGACCCGACCCGACCCATTGACACCCCTCAGGCTTCACTGTGCCCAATGTAACAGGAATGGAAGAAGAGGAGGAAGAAAAGAGACGGACAGAAGAAAAAGGAAATAGGAAATTGTGAGTTGGACCACAAAAAAGTGAGAAAATATTCGGGCCCAAACTAGATTTCCAGCCCACCATCAGCGCCAGTGTGAGACTCAATCCACCGGTAAAAAGCCATTTTCCATGCCAAATAGACAAAAAGAATTTCCCACTCATTTCCAAGCCACCACAAGAAATTACTTCTATTGAACTGAAAAATGACTTATCTGAAAAAAATTTCAGACGCACCAAATTTTCTGCAAAATAAACGGAGAGAAAATTTTTTAATAAGGGTTTGAAGTGGGTATGTTTTATCAAAAGTGGGCTTAGAGTGGAACCTATCTCAAATTAGGACTCGAAGTGTCCACTAGTCTGAAATAAGAGCCCAACTCATCGGCCGGTCAAATTTTCGCCGGTTGGCGGGCATGTGTCTCCCACATGGAACTTCCACTCTAAACCTTCTTTAAAAGAAAAAAAAAACATCATCAATGGAAATCTATAAAAACCTCCTTGTATGCGTCCTTGATTCGAGGATATCATCCACGTTGGTATTTTCTATTATTCTCTTGACAGCAAGGCATGATTTTCCATGAAATTATACGTTTTAAGTACAAAAATTTTGTCTTCAATTGAAATAACCCTTTTTCCACGCCTGCTAAAGTATAGGTTTTAGTAATTATTTTCTCGAGATGGATTAGCAAGGTTTGGGTTGCTAAGGGCGCGAATGATAACCAATTTATTTCACTATTTTTTTTATTTTTCTGTTCTCGGGAACAAGTTTGGAATAAAAATCCGTTCGGCAATGCAAGTTCATTTTTTTATTCCTTAGACAAATTTTTAGCCTAAAAATAGATTTGGAATAGAAATGAGAAGTAGATTTATTTTACTTTTCTATTTATGAAGCAGAAATAAAAATAACAACTCTTCTTATCGCTCGCCCTTGCTGCTCGCCGCCCGCCACCCGCAGCCGTCTGTCTCCGCTTGTCACCCACCCTCCGCCCGTCGCCATCGACCGATTGCTAGGAACAAAAATTTAAGAATAACATATCAAACGAATTTCTATTACGGAAACAAAAATTTTGTGTCATTATCAAACTCTATTTTTTGCTCAAAAACTCATCTAGAGAATTGATTTTTTAATTTATGGCCAGAAATTGAGCCGGGGAAGATAATATTTTCATTTGCGCCCTAAACAACAACAGAGCCATCGAAAAGAGCCCACAGCCAAAAATTCAAAGAGGCAAATGCCCACAGACCATTCAAACTCGCCCCGTTGAGATCTTTGTGTTTATGGCAACTAAAGAGTATTTTGACAAATATTTTTCTAAAAATAATCGCTTATATCAGTTATAGAATAAATGAACGAGAAATATATTTATCGTCCATTGAAATGTTTGTACATAAATTGTTATCGATAATAAAAATATTTTTCATTGTCTAATTATTTCAAACAATACAAGCGATAATTTTTTGAAAATATTTTTTAAATTATTCATTTTTCACGAAATTAAAAGTGCCTTAATGTAATCGACCATCAAATCTAAGTCGAGCCCCTGCGCCGGACTTCAGAGAGGTCGAAGTCCTAAGATTCTTGTAGGCTATCTCGAGAGACCGTGCACAGATCTCCATATGCCAAAGGCAAGTCTCTCACCGCAAAAGAGTTTCATGACATCTCTCTTTGGTCCTTCTTCATCTTCTTCTTCGATATTTGACTTGGGCTTCGTGTTCACTTGGAGATATGCTCGGGACGCATCTCTTAACCCCTTTTTTTTGTTCCTATTTGTCGCGCAAGCTCGGTCGAGTCAGAGACCTAAAAATTCTAAGTAGCATCTACATCGAAATTTCAAGTATCGCATATGTCATGAGTTCAATCCTTTATAGGAACTACCCGAAATAACGAACTTGCAAAATGAACCCGGTCATCGTAAAGAGATTCATTGTTCATAGATCCCGCTTTACATTAATTGTTATTTGAATGAGTAAAAGCACCAACGTTCGCATTCCCTCTTCTCGCCTTGTCTCACCCATTCGGTACCCCATTTTTGTTTCGTTTGCATGGCAAAAAATCTCCCAATTGCAGATGCTCGCCATTGAGGCAGTTAAAGCGCTTCGATACTGATAGAACAACCGCTGAAACGATCACCGCCGAAAGAACATAAGAGGCCATCGTAATAAGAACTAGCGCAGCAACAGAGTTTCTTTTCCGTATGACAGGAGGGCTAGGTGCTGTCCCATTAATAAGATTCGTGTTTCCACCGGCTTCCACTTTGATCACATCCCTAAACTTCGGAAGAACACCTGACAGAAGATTATTGGAAAGTATTAACTGTGTCAGGCCCGCCATCTGAATAAATGACTGGGGAACTGAACCTGAAAACCGGTTGTCTGAGAGATCCAGAATCTCTAGGGTAGTTAGCCGAGAAAAAGTAGCAGGGATAGTCCCATCGAAAAGATTACTACTGAGGTTCAAAGCAATCCGCAAACTCAGTGGCATGGTTGGGATATGCCCACTGAGTTTATTTTCCCCCAGCTGGAGTTCTAATAAACCTTGTAATCTCCTGATGTCAGCGGGTATTGAGCCACTCAGATTGTTGTGCCGCAAATTCAAAATATTAAGGTTCCACAAGTTTGTAAGGGAAGATGGAATGGTACCACTCAGCAGATTCCAGCTGATATTCAACTGCTCTAAACTCGCTAACTGCGCAATTTGGCCTGGGATGACCCCATCAATGTTGTTAAACTGAAGCTCCATGACTTGAATACTGCTGAGATTTCCCAACTCTGGTGGTAAGGGACCAGTCAGATTATTCTGCGCCAAATTCAACAGGGCCAAACTCCGACATTTGCCCAGTTCAGGAGGTACCGATCCTGTCAAGCTATTATTTTCCAGTTCCAAGTAAGTCAATTTCTCGAGGCTTCCCAACGAATCAGCAGGGATCGTACCATTAAGTGAATTGCTACCCAGTCTCAACCTGAACATGTGAGACGATAGATTGTTAGGTATCGGCCCCTCCAACCGATTGTACGACAAATCCACATACTGCAAATTTGGCCGCGACAAAAGGTCGGGCGGAACAGACCCACTCAGCTTATTGTAGCCAAGATCCAAACTTTTGAGAGACCTGGTTAACCCACTGGGAATTGGGTCACCGAAGTTATTTTGGTTCGCAGAGAAACGGGAAAGTGATGGGATATTAGCTAAACTATCGGGGATTTTTCCGCCGAGAAGATTGGAAGACAGAACCAGCACCTCCAACTTTGGGAGCTCCCCGAGTCTGTCGGGGACAAAGCCTGAAAGCCGGTTCTGGCTAAAATCAACCAGGGTCAAACTCTGATAATCTGCGACTCCCGCAGGGATTTCACCGTCGAATTCATTCACCGAAAGCTGGAGCTCCTCCAGAGCCCTGGACAGTTTAACTGGAACTGACCCGTCGAACTTATTCATACTAAGATTCAAACTCCTCAACTTGACTAACCCGTCTAATTCTGAGCCAATGCTTCCCCCCATACGATTATAAGACAAGTCCAAGACCTCCAACCCAAGAAAACCAGTAAAAGAAGGCAAAGGACCTACCAACGCATTCCTGCTGAAGTTCAACCGCTTGAGCCCACCAATTTTTCCACAGGAAGTGATGAGCTCATCAGGGAGTGAGGCCAAGCGGTTGTCGGACAGATCAAGAACCCGCAAAGATTCAATCTGGCAAATCACAGGCAAATAATCGGAGGAAGCGAGAGAGAGCCCAGAGAGAGAGAGCTCGATCACGGAAGAGTTGTCCGGACTGCATGTGACCCCATCCCACTTACACGGGTCGGGCTCTTTGGTGATGTTCCACGATAAGTCAGAACTCGGGATTTTCCGGGAGAGATCGATCATGACTGCCATTTGAGGCGATGACAGGTTAGAGAAGGCCAAAGGGTAGAAGGAGAAGACGAACAAGAGCGGGACGAGCAAAGGATTGCCATGCGCGCACCAGCCCATCTTTTGGTTTCTTTCGATGTGGTAAATGAGAGATTTCGCAGCCAGCCTCGAGAACCCAAGGGCATGCATGTAAAGAGAGCCACGACACGAGCAATATCTGATTCAGATAGTGGGAAAAGGAGAAGAAGGAGCGGAAGAAGGAGCAGGGAGAGAGAGAGAGAGAGCGGTCAAGAACAAGAAAACAGACGCCTATCAAGAAAAAAAGGAACGAGAAAAAAGAAGAAAAAAAAAAGAGGAAGAGAGAGAGACAGCGAGAGCGCTGCAATGGCGTAGGTTTTGGGTTCGAGGAGGTGGAGTTGACTGATGCTGCAAGCTGCAGAAGAGACTTCGACTGAGAACAGTGCGCGCGACCCTCGTGTTTGTTTCTTTTGCTCGTCTTCGCTTTTTGTTCGACTCTCGACCGTAAAAACACACTTCGCCAACGACCCACTTTCCAATTTTTGCGAGTCTAGCGACACTGATAACGTCGCACGCACGCCGACGAAATGAAACGGTCCCTGAGCATTCTTTCAATATTCAATATAATTTCTAAACTTTTCTTTCAATTTGGTTCTTTTAAAAATTCTAACACCGTTAGGACTTAAATTAGGACCTGACCAGGTTCTTCAAAAGGCTCAAGAGAGAAGAAATAGGAGGAAAAACTCCCGAGGGTGGGACCCATAATGTCACCTCCCATTAAAAATTCCATTAGCCCGGACGTGAGATGAGTCATGCTAGCGTCCGTGTTGCATCCGAACTGTCTTTTCATAATTGTGGCCCGAAAAAAAAATAGGAAAAGAAGTTTGTCGACTTTGAAAGAATGAGTTGACAGTTTATATCATTATTTTGACCCGATAAGCCCCATCCTGACGGTTCACGTTGGAAAAATTTATATGTGATTTGGCAGCACGCTTATTGGAAGTAGCGTTAATTGAGCAGATTTTTTAAAATTGAACAAAAAAAATTCATGGATCGCAATAAAAATTTTAAAAAAAAAGAAAAAAAATTAAAGGACCAGTTATGTTATTGCTCGTAATCATCCAATAAGCGTAAGGCAAAACTTCTTGCTTCGAGCCCATTATGGATGAGGTATGATGAACGACGTTTGACCCGTGAAACTCACATGGTCGATAGTTATGATTGCCCCGATCCATACGAATCTTGATTAAGTTGAGCTAATTTCCTAATAAGTTATAAAGTAGAGATGAGAACATCTTAAGCCGGTTGATTTGGTTCGATTTCTCGACACACTTGGTTCGAGGTTCATTTAATGGATGAAATATTCAAGACCACACCATCAGCGTAAGTGTCGAGCTCGTTGGGGAGGAAAAGCCATTTGTCCGGGATCAAATAGTGAAAAAGGATTTCCAAACTCATTTTCCAAGTACACACCCAAAAAAAAAAATACCATTTATTTTACTGATAAATGACTTCTTTGAAAATATAATTTTTTTAAGTATCAATTTTTCTGTGAAACAGACGGGTCCCCGAGTTCTTTATGCGATTCTTTTGCATCTTCCTTTGGCAATTGACAGGATGTCGAGCAGAACTTATGCACAGGACATCTTTGGCAGGTAGATTAAATGGGATGGATAATATAATTTTCACAAGACTCGTAAGAAAAAGTCACGCTCGTGCTTTAGTGATAACAAGTTGGAAAAATATGAAATGCAAAGAAAGAAAAGACACAGAGATTTGTATCATTCTAAGCGATGGTCTTTAAAACCTCTCCTGATCAGCAGCAATGGCTAGGGGTGAGTATGGTCTGGGTGAGTGGTTACCACCATGAAATCGGGAATCGCCTATTATGGATCAGTTTCCAAAAATTGGAATCGGAAATTTTCCATTGGTTCCATGGATCCACCTAAAATTTAGACTGCCGGTCTAGTCTGGTTTCTGAGTGGATCTATGAAACTAGTCCTACAAAGCTTCACACAAATGGAGGTGACCGAAAGCAAGAGAGGAAGGCGATAAACGGCCGGAAGCGCGACCGTGAATTGATAGGAGTTGAGAGTCGAGACCATGAGTCGATAGACGTTGAGCTTAAAAGTCGAGACTATGAATGAGAGATAGAAAGATGACTTAGACAAAGTGAGAATGAGACAAGGCGAGCACTTAATTGACGGGCGTTGAGCTTTAAATTAGAGATTTTAAGGGTTTCGTTTTTCTCAAAATGTTTTTTTTTTGTTGGAGATTTTTCTTAAAAATTATATAATATATATTATCAACTTGATCCGGGTGGGCAGTTCCACGCCTAGAATCGGAAATCAGACCAGTACTCACCGATTTTAATAAATTAGAATTGAGAACCGTCAGTTCCGGATTGATCCGGTCCGTTTACTCCGGCAACGGCTGACTGTTTAGATAGGACTTGAATGACTCTAAAGAAACACGCTAGAGATCCCGATGGATCGCAATAATAATTTTTAGTTCTCGCGCAACGTCAATGGCAACGGACAAGAACCTTTTTGCATATGTCCTTGACTCGAGTGTTTCCTGTTTTTCTCTCGACAGCAAGGCATGATTTTTCCACGAAATTATACTACGATGCAAGTGAAGAAAATCCCCAATTGAAAATGACCCTTTCCCACGCCTGCTAAAATGGGAGGTTTTAGTTCGACCAAAAAAAAAAAGGGAGGTTTTCAGTGATTATTTTTCTTGAGATGGATTTAGGAAGGTTTAGATTGCTAAATATGAGCAAGAGAGCCCAGAGCCGAAGATTCAAAGAGGCCCAAATGCCCACGGATCATTCGAACCCGACCCGTTGGGATCTCTGCTCTGTTTTTTGTCCCATTTGCAGGGAAAAAACGTATCAGACTGGAAATCGATCACCCAAACCATTCTCAAAGCCACAGCATCGATCGATGCTGGGCATCGAGTGTGCAAATTCTACCATCTTATCGCCAAGGGTTGCCCTAATAAATACCCGAAAGAAAGGCGAATGGTATAAGAATTCGTAAAAAGATTTGAAGGAACCGTATCCTCGAAGTAGGCACGCATTTAAGCGACCACTTAAATATGGTACAGTAATGCGTTTGTCCGGCCCTCCTTTGGCCTTAGCCGTCACGTCGGATCTTAATATCTCGACAAAAACGGCCGGCGCGCACCGTCTGGAGAGGCTTGAGACGCTCAGCCCTCTGAAGCTCGCGCCGGAGTTGTCAGGCGCCTCTTCGGACGTCGTGGTAGTTCCGGGCGAAATCAGGCCGACGGACCCGGCGGAGAGAGCTTTACGATTTCCTCTCTCGGACGGTGGGAAGAGATTAAGACCGTCAGGGGGGCTTCCGTCATCGTGGGATTCCACGGAACATGTCGAAAGGCGCGCGCGTTCTCGTCGATGACGACGGCTCGTCTTCGCGGGCGAGCGGAGGGGCCTTGACCCCCGGTCTCGCCGTGCCGTGTGGGATCTCCACGCGGGCGGTCCGACCGGGTCGTTAAGGATTTCCAAGGTTCGGAATTCCCGATTTTTGTCCGGATTTAAGAAAAGGGGGGAAATTACGGTGTCGTCATCTATCGCCTCCCGCAGTTCGTATCCGTCCCTTCCATTTTCCTCCTCCGATCTAAATAATATTCTATATATACAAGTGTCGATCTCCTCCCCCCCCCCCCCGCAGCGACCGCCACTGCGTTCTTCCTTCTCCCGCAAGCTCTCTCTCTTTCTCTCTCTCTCTCTCCATCGCCATCGGGATCTCAAAGGAGCGAGCTCTCTCGCAGCTGTTCCAGCTCCTTGCTTCCTCCTCTCGCCTTGGCATCTTCCCTCCCCCTCCTTCCTCAGATCTCGCGGCGCCGCGTCTCCGTCGATCCTCCGCAATCGCGTCGTCCTTTTACTCTGGAGTACCGTGCGGGGCACTGGTGTGAGCTTTCGGTTTCGGCTCTCGAACTCCCCCTTACCCCGCTCAATTGGGGGGGGCCGCGCGCGCGCGTGTCTTGGCGACGGAGGATGCGATGTCGTCGGTGAGGAGAAGAGAGTGACGATGGGTCGCGCTTGCATGGATCTCGGGGCATGGGACTGCTAGGGTCGCGGGGCGTGTCGGTGGGATTTCCGTGGGGGGCTTCGGTGGGCGTTGTTCGGGCATGGACTCGTACAAGGGGATGTCTTCGGACAACATCAAGGGGCTGGTGTTGGCCCTGTCGTCCAGCTTCTTCATCGGCGCCAGCTTCATCGTCAAGAAGAAGGGCTTGAAGAAAGCCGGGGCTTCGGGCGTTAGGGCAGGTAAGATCCCGTCGATTCGGCATTGGGTCCTGAGGCGTGGGGCCTTTTTTTTTTGTAGTTCGGATTCGATTGGGGATGTGGTTTGTCGAGTTCTTGGTTTGCGTAGTGGTGTGCGGATGTGGATTTACTTGAGAATTGTTCATCTTTGGCACTTTGATGCTGCTGCCGGGACTAGGGTTTGCATTACTTCAGGGGGTTTTCGCGTAAAATTAAGTGGCGTGCTTACTGGGGATTTTGATTTGTGTGTGAATTGAGTGGATGATTTGCTAGTTCTTTATGGGATCTCCGTTCGGCTAAGATGTGTAAGGTTGCTGTGAACTTCATAGCCCTTAAACTGGGGAAGTAACTTTCCTACTGGTTATATTATGAGCACATCTGTTTTTTCTGTCGCATTTACAGAAATTAGATGTCTGGAATAAATTGATTGACACACCATTTGTTGATCTGACTCTCATTTGATACCGTGGGTTAGTGGCTCTTGTGTGGCATACATCTTACAGAGTTTGCCACTGAACTTAAGGAACAAATCTAGTTCTTTCTTTTTTCGTCCTTGCTCCTTTCTACTTGCTGTTCTGTCTTTGGATGAGGAGGGCTTGAATCCAGGACATATTGTTCGTTTTGATTTATCACACTTTGGTTATCTTCCCCTTTTTTCTTGGGGTTGGGGGGTGGGTTAAGGCAGTAAGGAAGTTGGGGCTGCTGCTGAAAGGAATTTGGTTCTAAGTCTTCTGGCATCTTGTACAGGGATCTGGAGGTGCTCGAATGCACATGATGGTTCTCCAGCCGTGGTTGGAAGAGAGTATGTTTGTGGTGTTGGTTTTATGTTGCTGTCGATTTTCATAAGTGACTATCTTGCAGGATGTCTGTTGAGGTGAAATATTGAGAAACATGTTGGAAGGTGGTTATATTGGAACCTCGCAAATATTATAAGATGGATGAAGCAACTCCGATGTTACACTAAATAATGAGCTTGGTGTGATCACTTGTGTTGGACAGCAAAAGACTATCCCTGAGAGATCATTTCCCGGATCCAATATGCTGGGATGGAAAGAAAAATGATGGTACTTTCGAGAAAGAATAAGAACAATGGGGCCTTTTGTGAATGTCAATCTGCCTTAGATCTGCCAATGTGCAGATGTTACTGATCCTAACTCTCATCCAATGGGGGAGACACAGTTTGTCTTCTCCGGAGTAATTAGTGCCTTGCATTAGATCTGCCAATGTGCAGATGTTACATGGCATTTTCCTGATTCAGCTGTTCAAGTCCTTAGGCAATTTTATGACATTTCACATAGTATTGGCAATAGTTGAGTGCAAAGGTTGCTTCTTCTTGCACCGTTGTTTTTTGATCAAGTGTTGGTTTTACCAAATTGGAGGGTATCCTACCCTTCTTGGAGTTTGAACTCCCGTTCCTTTGGCCATAAAGCGGATGGCTATTGTTTCTTCTATAATCTCCCTGTGGAAGCCATTTCTTGGATTCTTTTGAGCTGAGCCTAAGGCGTCTTTCTTCTCTTAACACCCGCTTTTAGATATTGTGATTCAATTTCACAATTGGGCTAGAGTGATCAGATTTTTCTTGAAACTTGAAAGTTTATTCATGTCAGGGAGGACGATTCTGTTAATAGAAGGCGTACCTTCTTTCTTATACAAATAAGTATGATGGAGATCCATCTTCAGTGCATTGCCAGTGTCTTGACTGTTTTAATTTCTTATGGAAGAGATTGCCATTATATGCTTAAGCCTGGAGGTGTGAACAACAGATGTTGTGGATGACTGATGGAGCTTGTGCACCCTTTAGGTGATTGTGAATGCTCTTAAGAAAGTGGCAGTTCCTAGGAAACGATTGATTATGACGAATCCTACATCGATCTTCAAGTAATTCTTTCGCCAAAAGTTTCCAAATCATCCGTTACCTGCAAAGCAGATTTATTAGTATGCTCTACAGTTATCCTGTTGGTTAATATCTTTTTGCTCTTTCTCCGAAGGCCCTCTGTTTTTCAATTATTGGAAACAACATTTTTAATGCTTTTATCGCATAATCAGAGTCATAATATGGATTCTATGACATTGCTCTGTTGGAAAATTGCCACAAGTTTGGTAAAGGAGAGGACAGAAACTAATGGAGAGAATTCACCATTTATGAGCTCAAAATCATTTATTAGCAGTCGACATTGCTAGATCAACACCATATAATCTCTGATTAGTCTCAAGAAGAAGTGTAGCTTTGTAATCTTGTTTGCAGGAAATCAAAGTGGACTTTGACACTTCCTATAGCTAGCACGGTTGCACCGCAAAATTGTTTTAGCCACAACAGATTTTATATCTATTATATCTCAACTGCAGAATAATATGTTTTTTCGAATATTCTCCTTTTATTTATTTATTCGAATGTTTACGAATATCCGTGCTGTTGTAGTTTCTCAATCATTTTTCGCATCTCCCTTAAAAGGATGTGCTATACGTGAATCCATGACATATTGGTTAAATAGGATTTTAAACAGACGGTTATCTGTTGCAGGTGTTGGAGGTTATTCTTATCTGTATGAGCCTCTTTGGTGGGTCGGCATGATTACAAGTGAGCTTTACTTGATCTCTGCTGGTGGAGAACATAATGCTAGAAGAATAAATTTTGCCTCATCAGACTATGGTCCTTGCGCTGAGAATATTTTTACTGCTTTACATGTATTAGGATTGTTGTGGTGAAGTTCAATAATAGCCAATACTTGATGAAAATCTTTTTATATGATGGTCCTACCTTTCTTGATTTTTCTTTTTCCAAATTCTTGCAAGTCCTGGTTTTCGCGTGGAATTTGGTTGGATAATATGGGCTTCAGAAGGTTTCTTGAAGCATGGGTTGGCAGGCACTTCCATCTTGCTTCATAAAGGAACTTATACTTTGCTTAAAAGGAAGCAGTTGGACATTGTATCTTGAAACATGAGAGTTAAGATTCGTTTTAGCTTTGCTAGATGATCTTGGTGATTGAAAACTTGTTGTGTATGGATAATGTCTCCATGGTTTGCAGTTAAGATCCTCCTGTCACAATAAGATTCTCAAGGCCTCATTTTAGAATGAATTTGGTAAGAATCCTATAAAGTGCAAAGTGCTGTGAATGTGGAAATTGAGTGCCTCTTTAAGTGGCTTTCTGCTCCCCTTTTCTCCACTTTGGCTTAAGCCTCTAGCTTCGAACACAATTCTCTAAAGCAACTTTGGGTGAGAAAATAATTGATGATAACATTAGGCTTCATTGAGGGGATTGATTTTTTTAAATTCGAATTTGAAGAAAGCTGAAATAGTTTTTCTGTCTCATTCATTTTGAATCATAGTTAGGAGGAGGACAATGAAAGGCATGAGTTTGCATATTGAAAACATTGTGGCAAATACTTAAGGCATGAGTTTGCATATTGAAAACATTGTAGCAAATACTTTTCAAGGAAATCAATATTCAAGGCAAAAATAGTATTTCAAAAACTTCTATTATTAACCAAACTGAAAATGTAACTTGGAGCCAAACAAACTCATAACTTCCCCTTAATTACTATGGAAGTGTATTAGTCTATGCCATATTATAATAAGTTGAACCAATGTTGCTGCTTTCTTGTGGTATGGCCTGCATAGAACTTCACGTAGTTAATTTGGTTGGGCTTTTTTCAACGTGGCGAGTTTGATGTTTGATGCCTCTGACAGATGAGAATGCCTTTGACATCCTGCCTGAAAGTAATCACATTTACGTGACAATGGGTCCCCGTAAAGATGGAGTTGAGTTCTAGTAAAAAATAAGTAGGATTTCTAGTTTATCAGGACGACAAATATCCTGTGCTAAGGTCTTATTGTACTGAAGAAGATGCAACCAAGATGTATAGGCCCCTTAAAAAGCCCAGTCGGCTTTTGTATCTGTAGCAATCAGAGGTACCACATTGTATGTGGAGAATCTAAGAATAAACCTCACTGGGTTCAGCTTATTTGAAATGCTGTCCGTCTGCATAGTTTCGCTGGTCTCCAATTTGCAATTGCATATGAAACGTATATAGCTCTGTTTAATTTATGTCTACTCTCTACTTCTTTAGGAACATCCTGAATTGCTATGGATCAACCCAATTTTCATTTCATTGAAGATGAATGTAGATGAACCTCTCCAATAACCAAGTGCTTGTTGGTTGTTATTATCCATCTATTGGGTAGGGTAACTTCAGGATGGGGACACTAAAGGGACAATAGTTTATGAGCATAAGTACCCGCGCTGGTCAAACTGATCGCTAGTTGCCCTAGTTGGAACTAATACTCAGTAGTTTCCTATTAGATTGAAATTTTTGGGCACAGAAGAATTTGGGGTGTTCATTCATTGTTTAGATCTCCTAATCTATTTGTTAATGTCTTGCAGAAAATTGTCATAACAGTTGTTATGGTCTACTTATTTAATTTTTCTCTTGAGTCTCTTGATTATTAGAGTAAATGGTATACACTCCCACGCTTTCATGCTATTTGGCACAAATTTTCTTCTTTGATCTTCTTTTCGTCAAAAACTTTTTTGAACCTGTTATGTTGTCTATTGGGGCCCTATATTACTCCATTCAGTTGATAGGTGCAGCCATTTTAAACTGCTGATGATTTCAATGCAGTGGTTGTGGGAGAAATTGCGAATTTTGCAGCTTATGCATTTGCGCCGGCAATCTTGGTTACTCCTCTTGGTGCACTGAGTATTATAATTAGGCAAGTAGATTTTATAAAGAGCCAAGCTTTTGAAACTCTCTTGAATGCTAATTCAGATGTCTTTTGCAGTGCTGCACTTGCACATATTATATTAAGAGAAAAGCTACATATCTTTGGGGTTCTTGGTTGTATACTATGCGTTGTTGGATCAACAACGATTGTACTTCATGCTCCTCCAGAGCGGGAAATTGAGTCTGTCAAGGAAGTGTGGGATCTTGCTACAGAGCCAGGTATACAAACAGATTGTGTTTTCACTTTTGCTTTGTCAGTTTGTACAACTATCTAGTTGTAATTTTCTTTGTATATCAATGAATTGCTTTATTTCATGCTTGAAAATTAATCTATTGCAGCCTTTCTACTGTATGCGGCTTTGGTAATAGCAGCAGTCTTCACGCTCGTTGTCCATTTTGTACCGCAGTATGGACAAACACATGTGATGGTCTATATTGGTGTGTGTTCACTTGTGGGGTCGCTATCAGTATGTAGCCAGCCGTAATCCTTTTGTGTTCCAAGTTCAACTTTCTTGTTTATTTACTTTGCTATTATTTGTTCAACAGTATTATGCTATTTGTAGGTCATGAGCGTTAAAGCACTTGGAATAGCTTTGAAGTTAACATTCTCAGGGATGAATCAGTTAATATATCCTCAAACATGGGCCTTCATCATGGTTGTGGGTACCTGTGTGATCACTCAAATGAACTATCTGAACAAGGTAATGCAGATCTAGAGCTCATGCAATTGTTCAAGCTTAGAAACATGAATCTTGCCTTGTTGACATGTAACTTTTTGCTTGCATTTTCTTAATATAATTTCTGTTTGAGGAGGTGGAAAAATACAGATTGTACCTTTATGGAGTTCAATTTATGTTGGGAGTTCATGATTATACTTGAATTCTCTTCCTCTGTTCATACTTAATGCTCCATGTCTTGCCAAATTTTGTTTCGAGCTCTACCTTGTTATATCCTTACATTTGATCCTTGCTATAATTAATAGTTCATGCACCAGTTTTTAGTTTTAATTCTTTTTGCTCTTATTTCTGTACCACCCAATGGGACAGCAGAGTGTTTGACTAGACATGGACTTGGTTTGACTTTTTTATTGTGAAAGACTAACTTTACTTAGTTCTTTTATCATTGCAGGCTCTTGATACATTCAATACTGCTGTTGTATCACCAATATACTATGTGATGTTTACGTCACTAACTATTTTGGCTAGCGTAATTATGTTTAAGGTAAAACATTTGGGTTATCTTCTCTGAGTATGTTTTATTTGCATCATGACATTTGATGCTTGCATAACTATGTCTATGGATCCTCATCAACTTGGCTTCAGTAGTGGTCATATATGAAACGGATCATGTGAGATATCTTTGGAATCACGTCGGACAGATTCCAACATTAAACGTGCTATACAACTCATATAATTATCTGTGTTATAGAAGATGTTTTCATGGTGGATATTGATTCTTGGAAAATCATCAGAAAGTAGATATCAATCTTGGAAAAGTAATAAGAAGAGATTTCTCAAGTTCTGTTGTCATGCTGTGAAGGGATGACTTCGACTGAGGAAAGAATCTCCTTGCTAGTTGAATGTCATCTGAAGCATTGACATTAAGTAGTATGACTTGCTACACTTTGGATAGCTTGTCTCACTTTGGATAGTTTGTCTCCCAGGTAGTTCGTCATAGGGTGAATTACCTTGATATCAGACTTTTGCTTTACTTAAACGTCATTGTACTAATTATATCTATAAAAAAATATCTACAACAGGACTGGGACCGGCAAAATCCAACTCAGATAGTGACTGAGATGTGTGGTTTTGTGACAATCCTTGGTGGTACATTTCTTCTCCACAGAACAAAGGACATGGTGGATGGTGCGCCCTCATCGATTTTTAGAAGCTTTGGATTGTTTCTCAAAACAAAAAGTAATACAAGCTAATCTTGTTGTGCTTATTTTGCAGGCTCACCATCTTTATCCTCACGGCATTCTAAGCTCTCGGAAGAGGATAATTTTGACCTAGAAGGTATTCCACTACGCTCAGCTGAGTCCTTAAGATCCTCATAGATGCTATCTGTTTCCCCTGTAGTTGAACACGTTTTGCGTAAGAATATTAGGCCGCGTCACATTTTTGGATGATCCTCCATTTGATCCCAATGATGGCCTAGAAAGAAGAAATTCTTTGTCAAGGGTCCAGTCAATACGATGAAGTTTCGCATGGCAGCAGTCATGATCCTCAAAAAGCTTCCACATGATGCTGTTCCTGGAACGTCTTTCGCATTGTAATAGGAAGTACAGAGTTCTTGTATACTTGTATTTCCAGCTCAAATTTGCAGAGAAAATGGAATTGTCTTGATTGGAATTTATCAACTAGAAATTTCTTTGGGTCGGACTGTCAGATGACAGGAGTACTGTCTATATTGATGAGCCTTTTTGAGGAAATACACGTCAAATAGCCACTGCTGGTGCTCGGAGTAGCATTCTAACTGATGAAGCCCATAGTGCTTGCAATGCTGCAGATACCGCATTGCGTTTGAGTTCCTGTTCTGAACTTTTGAAGTCAGGCCTTAAGCATATATTTGTTCTTTCTTCGAGTTTTTTTAGCTCATTTAAGATTAATTTTATCAAAAGAGCTGAATTTTGACTTATGATATCTAATTTCACCGTTGCCGTCTTTCTCTTACGTCATTCAAGCTTACTCTGCTGCATGTAGGATAGAGCTCCCGATCGTAGCCTAAATGCTGAGCTCTTTCCCACTTGCTGAGTACACTGTTAATTTAAGAGCAATACGGGTGTCGTGTTGCTAGTCCAAGTGAGTCTTTTCTGTATTGAGTTTGCTCCCTAACGTGATGTTTTCGTTATTAGCCTCTTTCCTTGCCAGCGTAAACTCTAGGATTGGTACATTCACAGATACATGAAGGGAAAGATGCGACTCCTTTCTTCTTCTACTTACCTGTGATAATGGAGAGAAGTTCAAAACGCTCCTTCCGGCTCGATGTCAATTCATTATCGGCTTTTGCTTTTTCCTCCCTCCTGCGCATGTCCTTTGTTGCATGTTATGCGTGTAGCGCTTCAAATTGGTGAAACCGCCTTGAATGGATCAGGTCGAGAGATTGGTTGCATGTTGGTTATGACTGATCCGGTTTACATGAACATGGCTATGATCGATCATGTCCAGATGGGTTGGTTTCAGGCGGTTGTTTTCACCCCGAGTCGAGAAATCTCCCGACCTTCCTTCGATCATCCGACGATGAGCAATGACGCAAAACATGTCTCCGCATGACCTCATATGACAGCACGATCTTTAGTAAGTCGCTAATAGTAACCATCCAAAAGTCCACTTTGCAAGTCATGTGAGTAAGTAGTACTTCGAGGCTGTCGCTTTCTTGGTGGAGACGTGGTCGACCCGAGACGCACGCAAATACTTTTTTAACGTTCTCGAAATGAAAGCGTGCCTTAGTAGTAAAAAACTCACCATCAGGGGGTTCTCGAGCAAGCAAAATAAATTAAAAAAAAATCAATATCAGAGCATAATCATCCCTACCAATCCGGCGGTGGATAAGATGTCATTTATTTTACATCTTTCTTTTTTCCACCATTTGAAATGAATTTTGGTGCTTCCATCCGTCAATGCTTGTCGTTTGTTAGAAGGTAGCCATCCATTTGTCTTCCCATTATCATTTCAGAATTGGTCCAAACCATCCCCAGAATTTAATGAAACTCGGAGCAATAGAAAAATAGGAGAAGGGAAATTTAAAATCACATCCACCTACAGAAACCACGGCTCTCCCTTGTAATTTGCTTAATTAATAGGCTTGGAGATTCCCCCTACTACTAAACAAAGGAAGTAAAACTTTGTAGCAGTTGAGCTACGTCTACAATTTTCATGATCTCATGGCCAATTAGCCCACCAAACCCAAATACCCTCAATCATTCTCCCTTCATTTTTCCACTTCCCATACCAAGAACCATCCAAACTCATGGCAGAGGAAGGGTTCAGCTTCCCCGGAATCCCGGACCTGTCGGCCTGCTCGATCTGCTCGCCCCCGCTTTGGCCCGTGTCGCCCCCTCCGGCGCCTCCGCTCCGAGACAGGTCGTCCTCGCGGGGCTCGGACGACGAGGGGGTCCTCGGCGAAATGGTGGGCGGAGAAGGTGGCGGTCTGTGTGGGGAGGAGGAGGAGAAGATGGACATGCTGTGGGAGGACTTCAACGAGGAGTTGCCGAGGAGCCGCGGGCATCCCGACGTGTCATCGTCGTCGTGGTCGTCGACGTCGACGTCGTCGCGGGAGATGGCGGGATTCGGGGGTGTCAAGGCGCGGACGGTGTCGAGGACTGGTGGTGCATTGGTGTCTGCTAGGAGGAGGACACCGCCCCCGGGTGTGGTGGTGCTGATCAAGGTGTTGAAGAAACTCTTCTTGCTTCATCACGGTCACAACACGCATGGTTCCATGAAGAAGCCATGCCCATGGTGATCCCGATGAAGATCACCCTGCATTGGAAAATTCAATTTCGCTCTTTTTTTTTGCCTTGTCATTTTGTCTCTATGCTGCCCAAAAGAGGAGCACCAGACAAAGCAATCAACTTGCGTTGTTTGTTAATGTAGATTCTTCAGATCTGTTAATTGTTGACAAAGTTTATGTTTGGCATCTTTTCTACTCCTTGACAACATAATTAAGGAATCTTTATGGCCAAGTCCAGATCATTCTTGATTAATTTATCGATTGAGAGAATTTTTCCCCATTTTGACATTATTCATAGGATCAGTCCCAGAATTCATGAATAGTGTTTCATTATCTAACGTTAGGTTGTAACTTTAACTTCCCCAGAATGGTGGGAATTCTTGGAATCTCTTTTTTGGAGATTTATAAAGTTTCTTTTGCGCATAAATTGTTCAATGTCTGGAGTGCGGACAATATTTATATGTAAAGAGACCTTTCACTGTGCTCAACCTCGACAGGCTATGTATAACACTTAGCAAAGCCAATGGACAATTGTCAACAGATCAGAGAGAAGAATCAGAATCATCCTGTCCTATATGCTGGCCTAGGCGCAGCACTAAAGAAAAAGTGAATTTGTTAAATTTGGAAAGGAAAAAGGAAACTTTTATCTCAATTAATTTTTGTGGACACGGAAATCGTCTCATCCATGTGCATCGGATAACATGCCTAAGGTGGCGAGCGTGACACCCCAAGATCAGTACTTCTTTCCGTGAAGAGTACTTGAACATAAATTTTGCAGGAAAACATAGTCAGAGAAACAGGGTTTATTAGGTAACAACGAATTAAGTGGTGTGGTACTTAAGAAGAAAGGCTTTTAGTTCGCTTTGGCAATGTCTGAAGTGCCTCCCTTTTTGAGTTTTTCCTCATTCATTGGTTCAATTCGCATTCCCTTTCTCTAACTCGGTTCAAAGTTATGTTAGCTTTAAGGCCACTTGCTAAGCATTGTGATTAGAGAAGAGATCTATGAGCAAAACTACGGTTGTAAGGTCGACAAGAAGACCTTTTCCACTCACCTGACCAGCTGTTTGAGGAACTGTGCACATTGTCCTCCTTCTGAGTTCCTTTGGTATGACCTCACTTGCTCTTTTTGCCATTTCTTTTCAGAAATTTAGTCATCAACTGAATCAAATTTATAGAAAAGGAAATATTACTCCAAGTCACTAATTCTTAGCATAACGAACCAACCAGTAAAATGAGTCAACCTACACAACTTGAGCAATCGTATAAATCATGCAGACAATCCAGTATGCACAAGATAAAGATGATTCTATAGATTCTATAAGTTACTGTGGGCTTGGACAAGAACGCCAGGCATCCAAAGAGACGTAACTTGGTTACGCCCTACGCACGTAGCTTCATTGGATCAGGCGCCCCAGTTAGGAGCAGTGAAGGACGAGCTTCGGATATTACTTGGCCAGGTGCCTGTTTTGACCGGATCGATTCGGACTTCCAAATTTCCGCGAGATTTCGACATGTTTTCCTATAGAATCACTCTTTTTTGGCTCTTTTAGGGTGGAATGAGATTATTAATGATTTTTTGAGGTTTTTTTTTTTTTTTCCTTTGAGAGTTCCTTGGAAAAATATATATGTGCTTTCTCATCTATTCTTCGAAGATTACTGCAATTTTATCTCCCTGGGGCTTCTGTATGAATTTTATTTTGATCCAAGATTCAATTGGAAAGAGAGAAAGCGATTAAGCTGCCTTCTGATCTCTTCCTTGTTCATTCTAAATTGATCCTAGAAAGTGCCCCAGACTGTTTTTTTACTGCTGGAACTAGAGAGTGCCACAGACTTGCCAATGGTTGTGTGTGGATGACAAGCAACCACTCGTTTGATTGTCTGCACTTATTACAATTGTTGCTGTATAATCAAAACTCTAACCCACATTTCAGATCATAAAAGATGAACTCACAAAGAATCTGTTCAGCGAAGAGCCTCGGCATTGCAATTTGCTGCAAAGACTAGTTCATAAAAGAAATGTGACAGCCAATATCATCTGTCTTGTTCTGCTGGGCTCCTTCCATATTGCTTCACCCAAATTGCGAAAGACAGTAAATCATGAAGGCATTGTTGTTACTGCACTGTGGTTCATTCTTCTTTCAGATATCAATCCAGGTCCCTCTTGTAACTCAGACTGAAGACACGAGCTATGACCGGACTGATACATCTTAAAGGTGGCCCCTGTCAAACTGACTGTGACCTGCTGAATCCCTGAAGATGACGGCCATAAACACAATACAAAAGAGCTCGACAACCATGGACAAAGTTTCGAAAATCTTGTTCAGGAGATAAGATTGCGTGGACAGTTTGATTAGCCTTATTCTCCGTTCCCTCCCGTATTGATTGAGGGCCTCCTCACATTTGTCCACAGTACACTTTTCAAATATGGTGTTTCTGTCGGATTCTGAAATTTTCTGTGCCAAACATCTTGCAATGACTATTGCATGTTCTAGACTCGCTGAGCCGCCTTGGCCGATGAGCGGACTCATAGCGTGTAATGCATCGCCTGCAACGTTACGGTTCCTTTTCTGGAGCTTCCTAGCATTAAATCCCATGGGCCACGGTATCTGAATCTCTAGCAAGATAACGAACTTTGGTCGCTGTTTTCTATCATCTCTTTCATCTCTTCCGGGAAATCCTTGATGATTTCGAGGCTTGACATCTTAATCAACTATTGGTTCTTTGATATCTGTGAATCTGCCCGATATAGATGATGGTCATTGGTAACTTAAGTAAGCATACAGTCCTAAGTACATTGAAGTACTCTTTTCGCCATTCTAGATGAGTTACTAGCTCTGATAACCGAGTCTGCTTATTTTCCTCAGTTATTGTCCTTTTCTTTGCTTGTTTGTCGAAATCTGATTTTGCTCGCGGAAATAAGCAAGATTGCTGACACAGGAACACTCTACCTGTAGGTCTTTAAGGACGAGTTATGAATTAATAAACCAAGGCGTTGTTCACGGGTACTCTTCCGAGCCAAACTTGCTCTTTTCCTCCAAGTTTGAAGAGGTTGTCGACTCCGTGAAACCTCGAATCGCAGATGTAGCGGATAACCTTATACGTTTCATCGGAAGTTATTTCAAAACCTTGAAATTTTCCCCATCACGTCCTATCATAACCTGTCAAAGAAGGGGGGAAATGAGAGGAACTCTTCCAAGACTGGGAAAAAAGAATGGAACTCCTGGTTTTTAACAGTGGAACCAAATCGATAAAAGAGACTAGTTAACTCATGTACAAAATAGTGACATGTAGCGTAAATTACGTTATAGCAGTTTACGTACCTATGTGGCTATAAGAAATTACCATATGGAGATCGGGTATATGTACATTGGGATTTTAGTTTAGGGAGATGATCCAGTTCATTCGCAGCATTGCCGTTACTAATTATATCACATGTAATGAAATTCTAAGATACATACAACTCCTTGGTCTTCATGACAATCCCATTGTAAAGTCGCAGAACTGCATTAGAAGTTACGGGGTCGAATGTCACGGAGATCACATGGCATCCGAAGTGAACTGTGCCCTGAGGAAGATCCTTCGCCAATGCTTCAACAAGATCACTCCGTTCTATGCACCGCACTTCCCCCTTGCTGCAAAATGCGCCTAACATATCAACACTACCGAGTACCGACTGCTTCAAGTTTCACCGAGAATTTACAAAGGGTTTCCTCTGTACCTTGTTGTAAGTTTGCCATAAGGGAACATCGACTGCCGAAAAATATTAGGCCAAAATCAACTTCATGTTGGTTGTTTTGGCCGTCGTGATCAAACTGAAGACGACGAGGAGTACAAGAGCTCATGTGGAGACGATGATCTGTGACGAACCAGAGAGTTTCTCTGCATTCCAGTTTCTGCTCATTTGATTAAGCATAACATAACAAAGTCAGAGCAGTTTGCACATTGATCAAGCATAAACATTTGTCCATCCAAAGGAAATGCATGTTCAAGGAAGTGAAACATGTCAAATTCCAGTAGAATCCGCTTCCTGGACTCCCGAGTCTTTTCGAAGCAATGATCCTCGTCCAAGATGATCCAAGGCGTGCCATCCATTATCAGGCTGGATCGTTTTATAGTGAATTCGATACTCAAATCCCCTCTTCACTTGAAAAAATATATATGGAAGAGCACTTGGGCACTCAAATTAGGGGTAATTGATTTCACGGTGAATCAATTTTAAGGCATGAACCCGAAACTTACTGTTCACAGGCTTCAGTTCCTATTTTTTTGGGATGGGGAACTGAACCAATCATGTCCGGAATCGGCGAATATTGTGAAATCAAATCTAAAGTATTATATATTTTTTCTGGTAACTAATGACATATTACCTTTCGTTAGTCGAGTGGAAATGGGCTCTAATATCATACAATGAGACCATGGAACCTAGAACCGGCACGGTTCTTATAACACTAAATTTCCTATGTTATGCATAATTTATCCACCACTCGACAATATCACTAACAAGGATTATTAGGTTCATATCAGTGTAAGAACATCACACAAATTATTTATCAGATGTATAACATATTATTGTCTACATATTAATTATTTAGTGGGAGTGTGAATTATATCTTGACTCGTAGTAGAACGAAAAAAATTTATAATATTTATGAAATGAGATAACGATACAAACAGTCATTAAATTTTGGTCCGATATGCAATGAGGTCCCTAAACTTTAATTTATTCGATGTAATTCCTAAACTTTAGCCTAATATTCAATGTTGTCCATGAACTTTTAATTTGTTTAATATGATCCCTGGACTTTTGGTATATGTTCAACGTAGTCCCTAAACTATATGAAAATGTTCAATATAATCCCTAAACTTTAGCCTAATATTCAATGTAATCCATGAACTTTTAACTTGTTTAATATGGTCTCTAGACTTCTGGTACATGTCCAACGTAGTCCCTAAGCTATATAAAAATATTCGATGTAATCCCTAAACTTGAATTAATGAAAAGACTACATTGAACATTTTCTAATAATTTAGGAACTAAATTGAACATGTACGGACGATATTGAACAAATTAAAAGTTCAGGGATCACATTGCACATTAGGTTATAATTTAAGGATCATATTGAATAAATCGCATTGCATATTGAGGTAAAATTCAGAAATTATTTGTCTCGTTTTCCCTCTCGAAATGGTACTATATTCCATGGACCTTATGTGTGCACAAGCAGGTCCCACCTTCTTCCCCTCCCAATCTTTGGCGCCCCCTCCCAAGAGCCAGGAGTCGCAGAATCCCATGGTCCAACAGCCATCGAAGGACTCAGCCCACCTCTCTCTCTCTCTCCTTTCTGTCTATCTCTCTTCCCCACGAGCTTCTGAGCAGAGAGCCCATTGGATTCTGGTAATGTTCCTCATCATTCCCACGTTAGATGTTCTCCGACATTACAGGACGCCGTGGTTTCTCTCGGGTTAACGCTAGATTTTCTGCCTGTTTTGTCTGAAACGGAAGAGTTCAGGCAGACCCAGAACGATTCTTATAGGTTTTTACGTATTTTCAGAGTCATTCTTTAGGTCGGTGACGTTACTCGTCAGGTTCGCTTTAGGGACTTATTTACCGACTCGTTAGAGTTTCCTTTCCATTTGGAGCTGCTTGAGACCAATTGTTGAGAAAAGAAGGACGACCCTTGTTGAGATTTGGCCGGAACAGCTAGGGTGTTTGTGTCGATGTCTGAGGACACGCTTAGAGAGGTTCAAAGATCTCTTCTTGGGATGATAAGATTTTCGCGAGAAAAGAAGTCGATGGTCTGTGTAATTACCTTTTGGAGGACATCATTCTTGCTACTGCGTTTAGGATTTACATGAGATTCACAATAAAGTAATTATTGCATGGATTTTGTTTGTTTTGATTTTAGTTTCGCAATTCTTCTTTGATTCTTGGGATGGCTATCCTTTAAATGGCTGTTCTTTTTTCCCTCTATAAGTGTAGGGATGGTGGGGAATTCCTTGGCTTCACCTCTGCTCAACCTCACGCCTGTAAGTTGAATCTTTATTCCCTTCTGTATTGAATTCGGGCACATGGAAAAAAAAATTGAAGTGCCTTTCGATTCTTCTTTGGCATCAGGAAGCACATGTTTGCACTTCAAAGTTAGCTTCCTTCTGCAAAATTATTTTCACGATATAAGCTACGAAGAGGTCTTTCATTGCATTGTAACCAACAGAAAGTGATATGAAGGAATGTATTGCTTTTATGAATTTCCCCGAGATACTATTTACTATTACTATTTTATTTACCTGACTGGCTAACTCGAATGCTTACATACATTGCTGAGTACATAACTGAATCATTAGAATTTCTTGTGAAATCTTATGTCCATTGCGTCTGTAATCATCTTAGCAGGTTGAATAAGATATATATATAAGCAGGAGAGGGCCCTTTTACTTGCGGATTAGTTATAATTTGCAGTGTTTTGAACAGAACGTTTCCATTAAAAAAGTTGGAATACAAGGGCTTAATTGATGTCTAGTTATCAAGCTCTCCAACCTCCAGTGTCCTGCTGTTAGATTCACGGCTTCTTCATTGAAGGTGCTGATTAATTTGTATCTTGAGACTTGATTATTGCGATTCACTTGGCCCTGAAAGTGAAAACAAGGCTGGGGTTGACGAGATTTGGAGATATTACTTTACGGGAATTCTATTATTTTATGGGGCTCACCTTGGTTGCAGATTCTTGGGTACACAAAAATCTGTTCTGCGTTCCCTGCAAGGATGGATACTAAGGAAGGGTGGGTAATCTTCTCCTCCCCATCCTTGATTGCAGTTTGCTTTCCTTCCTACCACCTTGTCGCCTTCTCGAGGCTTACTTTATACCTCTGTTCACTTAACTCCCATCCCACTTCATGTATACAGTTTCTCCTCCCCATCCTTGATTGCAGCTTTCTTTCCTTCCTACCACCTTGTCTCCTTCTTGAGGCTTACTTTATACCTCTATTCACTTAACTCCCATCCCACTTGATGCATACGGTTTTTCAAAGAAACCTAAAGAAAACAGAAAATTCACTAATCTGCGGATTGAAGAACCTGTTAAGAGAGATGAGAGGAGCAGGCTGACAGGGCAAGTCTCCTAAATATGTGGCTTAGAATACTTGACCCCGTCCACACTCAATAAGTCACCCTAACACCTCCCCCCTCTCTTCCAACTTGAGATGGAACAAATGGAGGACAATAATTTTGGTGATGTTTGGTTGCTTTTCTTTCAGTTAATTGCTTTTCCACAGCCTGCCTAGCTGTAAAAGATACATGTAGAAGAACTAGAAAAACATGCGTATGGGACATGTAGATGCTCCAATGAGAAGGTGGTATTATAGGACGAAGACACGGGGGTAAAGGAAGATCTAAAAAGACATACATGAATCAATATGGAAAGATGAGGAGTATTTTGATCATACATCAGACTTGACCCATAATAGGGCACAATGACATAAAAAGATTTATTTGGCCAATCTCACAGTTGCATAACGCGTAGCCACTGTCGATCTCATCTTATTAATAGAATAGCTTATTAATCAATACTTCCTACATATTTAAGATTGAACTTTTGCAATTATATGACATCAAAATACCTTGATAATATTTACCAGTGGTTCTAGTTTACGTCGTTATATGGCTACATACCACCGTGGGAAGTCCAGTCTCCGTCTTGTCATGTTATTTCCTAACTCCAGCTAAATAAATAGAAGGCTGTGCGAGAGAATCTGCTTACCAGCTCATGTGTCCATGAATTTCACACACTTCTTATGCATAAAATGTATGGACACAACAGATTCATACAGCAACCAAATTTATGGACCCAACATTCTGGTCTAAGCTTTGTTGATTTGAGCTTACTAAGAAAGAACTTTCTTGCGCATGAGCATGATTTTAGAGTTGGATTGGCAATTTGAGAAGGTATTGGAATACAAGTTATCACTGAAACCTCTAGTACCAGTTGCAATAATGTGTGCTAGAGGAACTATAAAAATTAAGTGAAACAAAGAAATTCCATGCATGCCGCAACCTGTTCAGCCTGCTGTGACCCTTGGATTCCATCTCCTGATGGCACTATATATTGCAAAGTAGTGAATTGATCCTTTTTCCCCATTGAATCTTTGAGCAGTCTCCACATTCTATGGAAATTACACTCCTAAAGATCCTTAACTGTTTGTCCTTGCTGGCTAAACTGTGTTGGAAACTAGGCCAAGTTACAGAGCAGGTGGATTTTGTTTAAACTATCGTCTGCATTTGATGGTTCTGGGCCATGCTAGTTAAAGCACTTGGTATGCTTAAGCACTTGTTTCTGTTATCATATGATACCTTTGTGTCTACTATCAACAAGCGAAAAGCTTGTTGTAGGCATGAACCACCCAGCACTACAGCTTGTGAACATTGCATTGATATTCTTGAGAATCACTTAAAGCAGATTCGTCCTGTTGTTGGGGTCTTCCTTGTTTGCTGAGTCATGATACACATTTCGAGTAGAGAACACATATTTCGATAGTGCGTGATGAAGTTCTTTCTCATCCTAACTGAGAAAGTGAGAACTAAGCTGATCATATTATCCAGTCTTGGTTCCCGGAGCGCTTTGTACAATTTGAACTGGCTTTTCTGGATCATCCTAATTATTTTCTCCCAAAGGTCAGATACCGAGAATTCGAGATGTTGCAGACTTATAGGTACATAAAGAAGCTTCTCTCTCATTTCCGTGATTTAGGGCGAAAGAACAAAGATACGGGATCATCTTGGTTTTCAATTGTATATTTGCAAACTTAGAACCTGAATGGAATATTCGAATTCACATCCAAGAGTCTCGTAGCAAAAATTCTTAGAAAATTGCAAGTATACTTAAAAATCTCATTATCATCTTGAAATTGGTTATCTGAAGTGTGTCGACAGTCTAACCCTTAGATGCATCTCTTTAGGCGAAATAGGAAACTTGGTACAGTAGGATCAACAGTATGAGGAATGAATGGAATAAGGATTCGATCTCTCTCCTAACGCCAGTCATAATTTTATATATGTAGCTCACAGACATAATTTGGCTTCCTGCTTCTGCAGTTTAATTTTCTTGTCTGATATCTTTTGTGCTTCACACTGACTTTGTTTCATCGCTACCTCTCAAATGAACTTGGACAGCATGACAGCAGGATTATCTATGCCAAGTCAATGTAATTCATACTTTAGATCTTGTACTTTCCTTTTCTTTTGAAATATTCAGTAATGGCATCGAATTATGTGAATTGTTCTACAGAGTGACACTGTGACTGTTGCACTTGCTAGCGCCGCTTTAAGCACATCAATCTCCAGTCGCCCCATATCTAAAGCGACCAGCTTAGCTTGGCCGCCAAGTCTCTCTGCTAATAAATGGGTAGTACGTGCAACTGCTGTAACTGTAGATTTAACTGAAGAAGAGAAGAAGACATGGGAAAGATGTAGAGATGCTCTTTCTGCGTTCAATTTCGGCAATGAGGATGAAGACAAGATACTAGCAAAAGCATTTGGCCAAATTCATTCACCATACTGGGGTGAAGAACGTAAAAAAGAAGTCCCCACCTATGAAGCTCTAAGCGACACTTTGGATTATTTGAGGAGTTTAAGCCTTTCAGACGATGATCTTTGCAAACTGCTCAAGAAGTTCCCTGAGGTTCTTGGATGCGAACTCGAAGACGAAGTGAAGAACAATGTCAAAGTCCTGGAAAAGGATTGGGGGATAAAGGGCAAGTCTCTCCGCAATCTTCTGCTGCGAAATCCGAAAGTCCTGGGTTATAACATTGATTGCAAGGGAGACTGTAAGGCACAGTGCACGAGATGCTGGGTTCGATTTTAACCTTTTGAAGATCATTTCTCCAACCCGGCGCCTCTATAATTTTGCCGGGATTCTTTTGTATGTAGGTCTTAGATAGTCTTTTACATATGTTAACTGAAGCATGACACTTCATACATGTATAACTTTTGAATAATATTGATCAGAAACCTTGTAATGTAGGTTATTTTTCTATTCTTCCTACACGAAATGTTATGCCCTCTGTAAATAAATTATCAGAAACCTTGTGATGTATCTGTAGGCAATCTAATAGGACTCGGTTTAGCGACTCTTTAGTCCATACCATCAATGAATATTAGATATTATCAGGCAACAAATTTACTCCATAATGACCCAAAAAAGTTTAATTTCAGTGAGTGCAGAAGCTTTTCCTTCCATTGCTGTAGTGGTTGGTGCCATTAACATCATATGACATCAGTCATATAACACAGTGCATCTTATCCAGATCGTCTTCAAGATCTGAAACCATGTACAGCTAATTTTGATCGAGAAGATGGAACCCAAAGTTTCTGATAAAGAGACTAAACTTTAGGGTTGGTAAACAGATCCATAGGTATTGCCGACTGTATACAAGCAACAGCACGGAAAAGAACCCATCAAAGTGCAGCATTCAATTCTTTGCCGTCGTTTACCAAGTGGGTGACCAGGAAATGGAACATCCAAAGATGGATAAATGTAGGTCATGGACAAAACTAGATTCCAAAGGGATTGTCGATGCTTTGATGTCGTAATGGTCCACAGTTTTGGTCCTACAAAGTCCTAGTCTATGGCATAATTTCCTTTTCCTACATATTGCTTAACTGGACTGCACAAAGATGAGGACTTTTGCTGCCAATTGAATCAGCATTTTGTTGGTATACATTCAAGTTAAAATAAATGATAATCAATCTGAGAAAAGTGTCAAAAAAGTCCTAAACCTTTTGCATTTATGCCAATTTAGTCCTAAACCTTTTTTTGATGCCAATTCAGTCCTAAATCTTTTGTATTTGTGTCAATTCAGTTCTAAACCTTTTTTTTATGCCAATTCAGTCCTAAACATTTTGCATTGGTGTCAATTCAGTCCTAAACATTTTGCATTTGTGTCAATTCAGTCCTAAACCAATTCAAAAGATTTAGGACTGAATTGGCACTAATGCAAAAGGTTTATGACTGAATTGGTACCAAAAAAAGGTTTAGGACTAAATTGGCACAAATGCAAAAGGTTTATGACTTTTTTGACACTTTTCCCTAATCAATCTCTCATAATTATTTGTTTCGATATGACGGAATATCTTATGTTACTTAGCAATGAGGTAAATGTAAGTGAGTTTAGAGTCCATATCGCCATCCATCCTGGTAATTGTACCACGAAAGACTATCGAATATAGCTACATTTTAATATAATCCTCAATCGATCGAGCGGCGGCTCACAGACCACTTCTACTTCATTGAAACCCATATTGTAACCAGCATTTGCTGCTCTTAAAGTCGGGATAACATAGCAAGAAAGCGTGTGTATCGTCACTGTGTTTGTAATCTCGTGCCCCGTTGACGAAAAGTTTCCTTTTCTGCTGCGATCTTGTGATTATGATAATAAGACCTTCCCTAGAAAGAAAAACTTTTCAACTGATGGTGCTTTTAATCAATGTCCAGTTTCTTCTCCTCAAGAAATTTCTGAGATGCCCTTCTAAAATGCACATTTAACATCTGAGGCCTCTTTTGCATGACCCACACGTCACATTTTGCTAAGAAGACGAAACGTCTCCAAATCGTCCTTAATCCGAGCACAAGTTGCTCATTCATGGGATGTGAAATGCATGAAAAGGCTGGTTTTTCGTAGGCTTGTAGGGAATATGGTGTACAGTTGCATAAGCTATATGATAGAATAGGACTAGGATTACCTCAATTATAGGTGTAAACAAATTGTGAGGAATCACCACATCTTTCAAAAGGATTCCACTAATTTTGTGCATCTGCATCGATAAGAGAATACATGCCATTTAAATCGAAATTTTAAAGTTATTTGGTTAGTTTATCGATGTTACACTGAGATAGAAATCAATCTTTCCATTTCCATCCCGAATGTTATTTCAGGATGATGAGGTGGATTTTGTTCTATATAAATTTGTATATCAGGTGAGGTTACATCATGTCATATGTAGGCACGATATTACCATTCAATCAAGTGTTCACATTTTCAAGAACTGATTTTGAGCGATAATGGAGATATTAAGATTTTTACTGACTCTTGCTAAATGATGTAACGATAACATATTGTTCGATTAACCAAATGGGATCCACACTCAAGTAAATTTGTTGATTTAAACTTCTAGCATAATATTGATCTCGTCAAATCATTTAACAAAAACCAATATTTGGTAATACATCTTAGTATTATTTTTATTATCTAGAAACCTTTTGTACACTTTTGGTTAGCCAAAGGTGATCAAAATCAAACAGTTAATTTTATTAGGGCACATTGTCGCTGTATGTCGCGCCACTAACTAATATGATGCACAACAATCAACAATAGTGTGCTAATTGCGTAAATATAGCGAAATCCATCTTCCAAATTGCCAAGAAAACGGAGGCGGGTGAGATATAGGTGGTCACAATACACGACATTCTCTAACTAACTGGAGTGAATCGTATACATATGTCGATGACATGAAGTGTGACGACATCCTGATGTTGTCTCTAAAGAGTCGTGCAGCAAGGGGGAGTGCAAAAAAAAAAGAGAGAGAAAAGAGAGACCTAATCTAATTCATGTGAACTCGATTTCACCACATAATACCGGCAATTGAAGCTTAGGCATTACTCGTTCATTCACGGCTAGTTTGCTGAAATACCGGGTATTCAATGGAGTCACATTACGTGTTCCGCCGGAAACTCTCACTATCAACAGCCTCCTCCGCTATAAATGCACTCGCAAGCTCTCAAAACTACACATGCATTCTGCTCATCTCTCTCTCTCTCTCTCTCTGTGATCTACAGTTGTTGCGCGTTCGTGTGCTCGTGGGCAAGGAAAAGGAAAGATGGCCAGTGCGAAAACAAGCATCCTCTTTGCAATCCTTTGCATTGTCCTGGTACATGAGGTACCTACATATATACATAGATCATGCTTATTATGCAGTGTTCCCAGCATACTTTTACACGGTTCTAAACAGATTCAAATTCAGTGTAAAGGGATTGAAAGAGATTAAATGAGAGTGAAAGTCTGACTTAAAGGTTCTCTCTTTTTTATATGGGTTTGGAATGTCAGCTGCTGATTTTTGGTGGAGAACAATTCCAAGCTGAAGCTCAAAAAATTGGTAAGATCTTTTGTAGATTTTGATTGCTGAAGCTACACACATAGTTATAACCTCCCAAAATGTTTATTATCAAGAGATGAAAATAACCAAACAAGAACTTTGCTAGCTAATACAGACACAGACGGTAGATGGCTACATTGATTGCGATTTCTGGTGATCCTTGCAGATTGCAAGTCCAAGTGCAACTACAGGTGCAGCAAGGCATCGAGGCACAAGATGTGCATAAGGGCGTGCAACACGTGCTGCAATAGGTGCAACTGCGTGCCTCCTGGCACTTCAGGGAACGAGGACGTTTGCCCTTGCTACGCCAACATGACCACCCATGGCGGCCGACACAAATGTCCCTAGATCACATTATATATCTCGAAGTTCACTCGATATTGGATATAATGCGTACTGTGTTGTGTATGTCACTGTGTGTGCGTTCGCGTCTGTCTAAAAGTAATGCGTGCACGCATGCATGTGTGTAGGAAGAAAAGTAAGATTGGGTTTGTATAAGAATTGCAAATAAGTTGAATGTGAGAAGTGGTTTCTATGTTCTTATTGATCGAGGGTTCATTTCCAAGTAAGAAACCTTTCGCATTATTTAGTTGAGGTCTTTGATTAAATAACATGTGTCTCTGAGTTTCCTAGCAGAATTATGTAAGGATGGTTATGTGCTACACATGATTAAATAATCCATCAATGTCTAGATTGTGGCTTCTTCAGTAGGGTATGGATGAAAGAAAGACAAAACGCGATTCCATTCCTTGTTTCGATCGATATTGTATGGCTTCTAGTTCTATTTCTCCTCGAATGCTCAATAGATGACCGTTTAGGAGCGAGTCCTGTTTATAAACCCCTTTCACAAAACCATGCATCTCCTATTTGACATGGGGTCGAGATGCTACGGCGAATGTCGGAAGAACATGGAAATCGTCCGTAAGAACGACGGTAGTCAAATCTGCTTGATGGCGAGAATCATTAATTGCCGGACCAATTCTAACCCCAGGAGAAATAGTATGAACACATTAGGATATGCTGGGAATACTTTTGGAAAAATTGCAAAGATTTAGAGATAGGAATACGCCATTGAATTATCTCCGATCTAAAATGACACCCCATTACTTGGTATGCATCGTATCAAATATACGTGGGTAAAGAAACACATTTTTGAATTTAAAAGTACAATTTCCTTAACGAGACAAAACGAGCAGAATAACATAACGTACACACATAATAGAACTTACCCGATTCGGGGTGTGCTGCAGGCGGTGGAGAAGGGCTGCAGATCTTTTTTCGTTTGGGGAGATGGAGATGCTGCTGATGAGGAGCGAATGCAATCTTGGGAACTGAAGTGGGGGGGATCGGATTGAAGGAGCTTGAGGCGTGTGATTAATGGCGGTTTCCTTGATGATGAAGCTAAGGCCTGGGGGGTTGGTACGAAATCTGTTCGGGCCTCTCAAAAACTTGGGCTTTGCAACCAATACGAGCAGTGGTTGATTTGGGTCGGCCTGAAGCAGAACTTTTTCGCAGTTCGAAGCGCGGGGTAGCTGCAGCAGAGCACGAGAATCCACCGGAGAAGGAGAAGATGATGAAGGGCCCCCAAAACGTATCGAATCTTTCCTGCGGCCCGAAGCCTGGTGCGTTCGCGTACGCGTACGCGCGCGCGATAGCAGCAGCCGGTGCCTACTGGTGGTGGCCGTCGGCCTCGGCCGGGTTTTGCATCTTCGTCTCTCTCCCGCGCCCCCACCGCCGAAAAGAATGGTGAGTCGGAGGAGGAAATCGTCGCGGCGATCGGACTCGGAGGCGGACACGGAGGCGGAATCGCCGTCGCCGTCTCCGTCGAGCTCCGGTGGCTCGGAAGAGTCCTCCCGGAGGCGGCGGCACCGGCGCCGGAAGGAGCGGAGCAGTTCTAGGAGAGAGAAACATAAGAAAAGAGAGAGGAGTGGCGGCAGCAGCAGTAGCAGTAGGAAGAAAGAGAGGGGACGATTGGATGGAGAGAAGGAGCGGAAGAGGTCGAGGAAGGATGAGAAGAGGAGCAGCAGGAGGAGCTCTCTCGATGGATCTTCTGGTGGTTCTGATTCGGAGGCTGAGAGAGTTCATGTTGATCCGGAATGGGTTCTGAGGGACATGTTGTTGAAGTTTCCTAGTATAGGGACTGATTTGAAGCAGGTAAAATTTTTATTCTTTTGCTGGTCTTGTTTTGTGGAATGTGATCCTGTCTGAATAATTGTTTTGAGTTTTGAGGTTAGAAATTAGAATAGTTGAAAAAAGGATCGCAACAGACTAAAATTATCAGAACAAATTCCGGAAAATTTTGTTTTCTTTGAAGCTATCGTTGGATATGAAACTTCTGTCCCTTGTCTGTTTAACGAAGGTCAGTTGTTCATTTTAGAAGTTAAGCTGTCGCAGAGGAAATTCCTGAAGAACTTTGGGCATTTTGAGTTGTAGTAGCTATTTGGTCTATCGACTTTTCAACATATTATGTCCTGGGCATAAGAATGTGGTTGCGGTTTTCCGGCAGTTGTCGCGTTCTTTAAATAGCATATCTGGTTGAACCTTTTTTGTTTATTATTGATCTTTCCCGGTCTTCTCCAATAGCTTCTGCAAATGATTGATAATGGACAAGCAGTTGACATCAATGGCATATCCGAAAGATTGTTGGTTAGGCATTTGAAGAAGCTCTTCCATTCACTTGACCTCGAGGAAAAAGATGGGGTATTCTTACGGCCGTCAAATACCCGTCCAGTTCTAGAGGTTGTTGGACCCTTGATTGAAGCTCATATGGAGCATAAGAAAGAAAATCTTGAACAGTCTGAAGTTGTGAAGAATTCACAGCTGGAGCCTGACCATCAGGAGGGCACGAGCGGTGATGTTCTGGAGGCAGGTCCTTCAGCACGAAGAAGGTATTATGTTTTTTGATCTGTCTGACCTGATAATGAATGAAAACCATGAAATACATTGCTTGATTCTTCAATTTTGACACTAGCCCGGCATAATCTCCAGAATCTAAATATTTGAAATTTGTACTTGTAAAAGTAGTTTCATTTTTCGTTTGTAAATTTTACTGCTGCTGCCCATATAAACAGCATCATGTGCTGTGTAGGTAGATTGCTGGAGTACGTTTGATCTTTGGCAAATGTGGGTTATTATCTTTTTTGCCTGTTATGATTTGTTGGGAGTACTCGTGGATGCAATTATCTCCTACTTTTGCTATTGGATAATAGTCCATAAGGCTTCTCTGAACCTAATATGGCACAAGGCTATCCATTTGTTGGTCAATATCATTTTGGAATATCGTCGAAAAGTGCAGAGTGGAGCTATTTTAGAATGGTTTCACTTTTCAACAGGATTTTAAGTTGGAGTGGGAATTATTAATGCTGCTCTTACTCTTCTTTTTATCATTGTACTTTGTGAAGCTGCTTGAATCTAATCTTTAAGACAAGAAGCACCATGAGGAGGTCACAAGTCGATCGGGTGCTAAAGATTTGAGCTGTCTTTAGACATCGATCTTGCTTGCCAAGTACTCTCCACAGAGATTAGTCAGGCTTAAATTAGCAAAGGTTGAGGAGACAAATGTTTGAAAGCTCAATAGAGAATTACTTGCAAAACATGGAATGATGTTGAAAGCTTTGTAAGGTGGAGCGATCCCAATAAAGATTACGTTGTCAAAGTTCTTACTCTTTATAGAAGCTCTCGGTATAGGAAAGGACATTACTTCGTCTCACTATGAATATGAAAGGTTGACAAATGAATAGGAGAGGTTGTGATAAGCTCAAATGGACATAGTTGTGATCAGAGATTGGTGGAACTGATGTGTGGTAAGTTTGGGTGAGATTGCTGAACGAATTTGATGAACTGAAAGTGTTTGATGAGTTTTCAGAAATATAAGTTTGGGATAGAAGATAGAAGAGTTCCTTACCAAGGCACAAAGGTATGTTCCACTAGCCAAGGACGAAGGACTTTAAGGTTCACCATCAACGAATTGGATAGAGAGTAGGGTTTTTAAGGCTCACCACTAACGAATTGGATAAAGATCCGAAGGAATCACTCACTTGAGAGAAATTCTCATATATTATTTACTCAAAACTCTGTATGCTTACAACTGAAAATGGAACTCTTTTTTATAGAGAGACTAAGACACTAAACTAGGAAACATCAAACTAGGAAACATTAAAAAGGAAACATAAAACAAGGAATCATCAAATCAGGAAACCAACTTAAAATAGGAAACCTACTTTGAGGAAGCTATCCTTCAGCCTTTGATTCAGTTGAATGAGCCTTTATTCTTGAATTTATAAAAATTCCATCTTTGACACTTTCTCTTCATTGGACCCATTCAATCATGCTGTGGCCAAAATCTCCCTTTACTTGCATACACATCAAATGGTCTTTAATGAAAGTTGATGCTCTCGCATTAGGTCTGACCTTGGTATAAATTGGGCTGCCTCAGACTTTTACAGGGATGATCTTCTTACATTCAAGCCGCACACTTATGTAGTTAGGCATGCATCCTGGTAGGATTGACCTAATTGATTCTTACCTTGTTTTTCTGTTTGTACTTGGTTTGCATTTTGAAGCTTATCATGTAATTGCTCTGATTGTAACTGCTAAATGTTGCGTTGCAGGGTCATTGGCCCAGAAATGCCATCGGCTGAGTTGCTGGCTGCTGCAGCTAAATTAACCGAAGCACAGGCTGAGCTCAGGTGTTCTTTTTTCCCTCTAACCCCACGTGGTTTGCAGCAGTGCTCTACCTAGACACATGTTAGGGAGCAACGTCTATTTCCTAGTTTTAGGTCATCATTTGTGAGTATAACTGTGTTCAAGTAATATAGGCTTATGTAATACTGTGTATGTACTCTGTGAATATATATATTATTGACTGACTGTGGTCTGTATGCTAGAAATGTTTGTAACAGAGTTTGTATGACACTTGCATATTCTTAGGGATGCTGAATTGGAGGAAGATACTGAATTATTCATTGGACCTGCACCACCAGCTGTGGTTGCTGAAGCTGAAACTGCAAATGAAGCTGAGCGTTTTGAAGAGGTTTGTTATTCTACTATGCACCATGGATAATGAATTTTGTGGTATCTATGTCATGTCATGTTGGAGTATGGAATATGTCATATAGACTCGCTGTATTATTAATGGTAGTGTTGTCAAAATGACAAAGGTTTTAAGCATAAAAAGGATGACATTGAACTGTTGCCGATATGAGGAATATACCTGGATTAGCATTTGACTATGAGGATGCTTGCATTTGAAAACCAGTGTGGCAATGAGCACGGTATGCAACTAGGACTATATGGCAAATCAACTGATAACATGAGGCATGTCTAGCTCTTAGAAGATGTGAGTCATAAGAAAAGGATATCAATGGGATTCTTAACAAATTTGCTTGAGGCTTTCATTGAAGCCTGACAAAGAAACTGCTAACCATCACTGGCTGCATTTCCATTGGGTAGCTTTGGACTTCTCTTGCTCTGTTGGGGCTCAATTGGGTAATGGCAGGAATGGTGCAAAACGAACTATAGGCGTAGTAAAGGATTTGTGTAGACAGGAAGAAGACATCTGCAGAACCCCAACACCCCATCTTTCTGTCATTTATGGAGAGGAATAGAAGGACCTTTTAAGAATCGAACCTGTTTTATTTCCTTGGAGGTGGTTGCAGACTTTGAATTGGCGTGTTTAATGGTAGAACTTTTTTTGAAAACGAGGTATTAGATTTGGACTTAGACCTCTCGGTTGTAGTATTTTTGTTTTTTTGG